TTCTTATTTGCTAAAGGTTTCCAATTATCCAATTCTCTACTTTCTACATGATGAAAGTCTTTAAACCTTTGTAATAGATGCTTTCTTGATCCAAATTCTTAAAAATGGTCTTCTTTATTAAAAAGAATCAACCTCTTGTATAAATATTTTTCATCACCTTCCACTTTATCAAAAGTTACATCATTTAGTATAACATATATATTATTTTTATACATGTTAAAATAGTACTTAGTAAATATATCACTTTTTATATTAATTCAATATTTTATATCCTACAATGATTCCTTGAATATTTCTTTGTTTTTTTAATAAATCATAGCTACTTTGTACCAATTTTTTTCTACATATCTTTACTAATAAATAAGCTTTCTATAATATAAGAAATAACTCCTTCAATAGAAGCTTGTACCTTAATTCTCTCTCAATGCAAGTCATTAAGATGTCAAAATCTTTTTAAAAAATTTGAATACTTTTCTTTGGATTTTTAAATTAATTTTTATTAATATTTTCTTTCAATAGAACTTTTAATGCTGAAATATAGGCTTGACATTCTTTTTAAATATTTCTTTGAATATATTCTACATATTATATTATGCCAATATATTATAAACAATAAATAATTTTTTTCTATCTTAGTTAAATATCTTAACTTTCAAAAATATAATAGACGCCTTTAAATTACAATATATGACTTCATCAACTCCAAAATATATGCCATATTAATTTTTCTCAAATTTTTACTTTATTTTATAATAATGCACTCACAATTACATATTAAATTTATATTATTATTTTAAGTAAACACGTTGCATAGTATATATTTATTCAAGTCAAATAAGCCTTATTCCTAACAGCAATAACTACAAACAAGATATTAAAATTAAGATTCATGCTCATATATTATATAAATAATTATTTAGCTATATATACTTATTTTATTTATAATGATAAAACAACTAATTGTACAAAGTTTTTCACTATTATAACTCATTCTACAACCATCATCATAGCTTAAGTTTTAAGTGACTAATATTCTTTAAATTGTCATAAATAGGCTTTTATACACACATGTCAAAATTAACAAGGTTCAAACATGAACTATTCTTTGTAATATTGTCACCTCTTTTGTAACAATTAAAAATCCTCTCATTAATTTGAAAATCTTCAATTGCATTTTTCTATTATTACTCCATCTATTGTATATATTTAATATTATTAATTCTAAGATAAAAAAAATCATCTATTCTTATAAATCCGTAAAAAAATGCTAAAAACTATTGACTTGTGGATAATTTGTATATAAAACTTAAGGTAATCAACTCAAATCCTAAAAAAACACTAACAACATCTAAAGCGTCAATCATAAACCCTACTTCTACAAAACATTGCTAACAAACCTTATTCCTATCTTAATTATTGTCTTCAACAATTGTGATAATTAAACAAATAAGAAAAAAATAACAACAATTATTAACTTGATGACCTTACCAATTCACACACACAGGCTTCAATGATTTTTTTTTCTTTTCCTTTTTTCTTTTTCTTTTGTTGATTTCAATCACTTCACCTTACAATGGACCTTGTCAAACTAGAGCCCTTGCTTGATGCCCTCCCTTCACTCCAGCAGTCGCTGCAGTCACCTCAATACACCGATCTAGACGATTTTTAGCTGGTTGGAACCAGAATTTAAGCCACTTCAGTAACACAGACGTTCACGGCAATTCAACTGTTGAGCTCTCAGAACTGCTCCTCTGAAGTTACGTGATCTAATCTGCGCAGGCGTCGTAGATCCAATTTCGATGAAACGCTAACATCAAGCGGCTCTTACCCAGTGAATCCCACCTTGATATTCACTCATACCAAAGATTGGTTCTAGAAATTCCAAAGCCCTCCAATAATGCACCGACTCACAACCGATGGCGTATTCTAACTGTATTGGGCACTCGTGCAAATCCTGTCCAGGCTATGGAGAATATTAAGCGGCGTTCACATCAAGGGCTCAGAACGCAGCAACTCACGAAAATCAGATCACTATAATTAACTTGTGTAATGTATGTATAGTTTCAATGCTGATCCAACGAGTACATCTGAAGTACACCTAGAATCATGTGTGTCGGGGCTTCCGAACCACACAAGAACCACTGCTACCGCTCCTTCCTAGATCGCAAAAGATTCCTGGACCATCGCTCAGTACTCGCCTACCACCTGCACAATCTTCTGAACTACTCGCCTATTCCAATCATGCGCCATCGACAAAACCATTAACAAAAAACACTCAGAATCCGCTCTACTCTTCTTTTCTAAGACCTGCAACTTCTCCGCCTACTCACTTAACAATGTGCATCGACATCCACATCTGAGGTGTCTCTGGTGCTGTGGATGTCGACGCATCAGATGCGGATGTCGACACCTCTGCTGTTTCATCCATACCGCTCACGGACCTCGACGTCGTGCTTAGCAGGTTCTAGGAAGATGTGTTCTGAAGCACCCGTGCGATCGTTTCTCTTTACTAGTTTAACTCCACAGCTCATCCTTGTCTGAAGAAGGCGCTTCCTCGGTGACACAGTCATCTGCACTTGTAGTTACCTCCTTCAAAGGCATCATCGTGACATTCCAAAGCCTCAACATGCAGTATGGACTGTCAATTTTTGCCATCGAAGTTTTCGTCTATATCCTCAAAAAATCACAAGATCTTATCCGAGGCTTTACAGGCAAGCAAGTTCTTGATGGATTTTGAGCCGCTTTTTTGCTGAAACATTCCTCGAGATACGTTCACGATATGAAACTACTCGTGAGAAGCATGCTCGTGCTGCTTGGAGCTCCAACATGGCAAAACAAATGCAAATTCAAGGACACCTAAACCCAAGGTCGTAATCAATAACTGAACAGTTTGGCACAACAGTATTGCTAATCTTGCTCTCTAAATCCAGAGGTTCTCGGGAGCGGCTGATAACCTCTTCAGCAAGTTCGCTTTCACCACTGGAGAAGATGCATTAGTGGCCACCATCTCAGAAGGCAAAGCTGACCTGTTTGCCATAGTCTTTCCTTCCCAATGATTTGTACTGTGAGCATAATGAGCTGGCTCTGGGTTATCATTTGTTGGCGACTGTTCTGTTCCACTCCCTGTTACAGCCATGCTTCTCGCAAATTTTGATAGCATCTTTTTCAATGCAGTCACTTCTTTCAATGCAGACTCTGCTGAGGCACTTCTGACGCCACCACCTGAGAATGATTCTGAAACAACATTCGTCATCTCCTCCACCGATCGCAAATTCCGTTGATTATCAGTAAAAGTGCTGTGACTTGTGCTTCAGCTCTAAATCAGGTCTTTTCATGCTGCAATCTAGTGACTCAACAATTTTGATTTTCCGCCACTTAGATGGGGGAGATATTTATTGTATCCCCGTCTTTTCACAGGGAGGGCCTACTTCCTTCTCAGGACAATCACAGTCTTGGAATGGAATTGAGTATCATTTCCTATTTGTAATTGCCTCATCTTGCTCATGCCTCAACTTTTGAGGCTCTGGTTTGACAGATACCAAATCGCCGTATGAGCCAAGCTTTCTCGTCCTCAAGCAGAGCCTCCTCGAATAATGAGATAGTTGTTGTTAACTGTCATTGCAGATAGCAGTTTCTGCTTGCTTAAAATGCGAGCACCTGGTTTCCTCGTCTGATATGCTCTCGCTACACTGAGAGGGGATGCGTAGGATGAAGGCAAGGACTAAACGCCATGCTCTATGTTATGTTAATCAAATTCGAGAATGATCTTTGCGAATTTTCGGTGTATATTATGCCCCTTCTTCACCATGCGCAGAAGAATTCTCCTCTCCATCATCTCCGCTCCCTGGAAACAACTTCACTAATTCTGAAACTAGGGCTTTCAAGTTTATCATGCCAATGACAAGAAGAAGAATCAATTTGACCACATTTTATGATCAAATGCTTTTTTCATCTTGGTGATAAACAAAGGCTAAATCCCACAAATAAATAAATATTGTCATTCCATGATTTACACGACAGTAAAATAAAATAAATAAATAAAAAAGATGTTTCAATTACCTTTTTTGCATTAATTCTGAGATTTTGATCATTGCAACGTAGCTTATTGCAAATACATATATTACTCCATAATTTCAATGTCACGATTTCGATAAATCAAGAACTACGACTTTGGTTCCTTTTGCTTAAAGGCACATTCTAATCATTGTGATCAATTGCACATACTGGCTATCATATACCAAAAATGGAGGAATACGTAGTCAAAGGTGTACCTCAATTTTGTTTGCTGAATCTAAACGGTTCTTCTATTATGCTGAATTAAAATTTCCACACCCACATCCATTGCCTATAATATATAATTGTATCTCAAATGAGTCACTCTTGGTTTTAAAAATGAATCATCAATTTCTCATCTCTTTGTTCAAACACGCAAATATTTCGTTCCATTTACTCAAGCAACCCATTGATCACATCACTTAAGTTCGGATCCTTGTATAAAACTACTATTCTTGTGAGTACTTCATGTGATCAATTTGCAACAGTGAAGCAGCTCCAAAACAAGGAGCAAATGAGTGCGGGTGATCAGAATGTGGAGTCAAAAAACCCACACTCAATACAAAACAGGTCAAACAACAGAGAGTAATATAATAGGACACCTATTCTCCACCAAACCAGCAGGAAGTCAATGTGGAAGCAACGAAGCAAGGAAGTAAGGAAGTGTTCCGGGAGTATGTTGAAAATGCCCCCAGAAACACAAAGTCAGCAGTCAAAGCATCGAAAACCACAGAAGCTGCAAAGTGAAACAGCAAAAAGTGACAAGCAAGAGTCACGAAAGCCGCAGTATCCAAGGACCGCGGTGACTGCGAGCGTCCACACGCAAGCGCATCCCAAGACCGTGTCGCCGTCGCCGTCGCCGTTACAGAGGTGCCGAAAGCAGCGTCGCGGCGAGAAGCGGCAGCCATCACTTATGGCGCAAGGCTCACGCGCGACGAAGATGGGAGGAAGGGAGGAGCACAAGTAAGAAGAAGACGGCCACCGCGGTAGGGAATCGAGGTGGGGGAGGGGATGATGCGAGATTACCTTGTCGTGTGGCTCGATCCTGTGCCTATGCTGTTGTTGTCTGCTGCAGGGTTTGATTGAGCGTGGATTGCAATCTTCCCATCCACCCACCCGGACAAAATCTATCTTCGCCCCACTTTCTTGTGTGGCTGGAATTTTACCCACTCGTGTTCATTCTGACGAATTGGGTGTAAAAATTCTCCCCTCTTTTCGGGCTTGGACGTACTTGAGCGTGAAGCCGTGTTGTTACCTCGTCGTCTTCGAAGGCTGTGTCGGTTGTTCCCAACGCCGTTTTTTCTCCACTCGCACTGTTTCCTCCCCTCCTTCCGTCGTTCGCTTCTGCTGTCTCCACGATGACTCATTGTTCATGCATCGCGCCGTTTTTACGCGTGGGTGTGTTGGTGCAAGTGCCTGGCCTCGTGGGGTCTTTGGGACGGTCCTCTGGGACGAGTGCTGCGAGGAGTTGGATAGTTGGTCGTGCGTCTAGTTGCTGTCGTATGTGAAGCGCAGGAGCATGGTGTGGTCCGAAGGAAGAAGAGAGAAAGAGGTGATTAGATTTGTGTTGGAACTTTATGACGTAATCTGTTGCAAACGGTTTTTGAGTGGTCTGCAAGAAAGGGCGACGAAGCAGCGTGTATTCTCGGTAGTCTGCGGGGTGATGATATACATACGTCTCATGATTCGAAGGGTATTGTTTTGCAAGTTGCACGTGGGTTTCGGGATTTACAGATCATTTATCTATAGAGACACTAGTGGGACGGCTGTCTTCTGAAGTTGCGAAGTTTGTCAGGAGAGAGAGAGAAAGCGAGAGAGAGAGAGAGAGAGAGAGTTATCCTCTGGTGGTGTTATAAGGTTGTGTCAGTCAGCCGCAAGTTTTCTTTTGAGGGTGAGCTATTGGTATCTTCTGTGAGAAAACGAGTTTGACAAGTACAGGGATAGGAGCGAGGGAGATCAAGCTTTAAGGATAGAGGAGTTTGTTTTGGAATACAACCAGAGGAAAGGTGGGTACATGCTTAATAGACGCATCCAGTATGGCGGTGGGTACCGAAGTCGCGCATCCTGTGAGCATTTTAGATGGAGTAAGCAAAGCCCCTGTTGCTTTCAACCCCAAAGAGGATGGGATTGCTGGGGATAACATTGTCTATGTCGTAGCAGAGGTGGAAGCCAAACTGATGGCTGAAGCGAATGGCTGCAGCTTGACTGCAAATCATTCAATCACTTTGGCTCCCATTTCGGAGTCTTGCAGCAATAAGACTGAACCCATGGCATACCCTTCAACAAGCGCAGAGAAGGTATTATGCCGTATAGCTGCTTCTAGGGTTGGGATCTTTTCAATTAGAGTGGCCAGTATTTTGTAGCTTGTTCACTAAAGCAGTGTTGTAAGTTTTCTTTTTTTTTCTTTTTTTTTCTTTTTTTTCTGGACCGATTGACGCATACTCAAAGTAACGGCACAAGCTTTATTTCAGTTTGAAGGATGTGCATCTTATTAGTTTTTTTTTTTTTTTTTTTTTTTTTTTTTTTCATTTTTTCATTCTTCTTTTCTCTGTCTGCTCTGTGATTGTCACCCTCTTGTGCTATAGGCCTTTAAGTCTTGTGATGAAATCGTAAATCCTTTGCTTAATTGTGTATGAGCGAGTGAATTTTTAAAATTAAAAAATTGCAAAGTTTTTAATCCTTCTTGTCCAGTTTGCAGTTATGTATAACCCTCTAATTATTATTTTGATATGGATCTTCCCATTTTAAGAGCATTGCGAAGTTAGGTTATATGTCTTTCAGGAAGCACGACATATAGTTTGCTCCTTGAGAAGGATTCTTCATTCCAGCAAGTCATATACTGTCGTTTCTGAGTGAAGGGTTCATGCAGCTGTATTTAAGATCCACTGCAATAATTCGCTTTAGATTTAAGGCCAGATTTTCGTAGATTGCTTTGAGATTACGCTGAATGTAAATTCTATGGGTCGGTTGGGTATTCTGATCGCCTCTCACAGAGTAGTGCCTGTATGTAATTTCTCCTTAGTCGTGCATACACGACTGAAGCACCGGTTTTCTGCTACCCTGAGTAGTCATTCAATGTTGATGGATTCGTTGTCGCATTCTTTAAATTGCCCATAGTGCCGATTTAATTGCAGAGCTTCAAACTATTTCCTGGTGTTTTTGTTTTGCCTCCAGTCAAGTTAGGTTTAGGTTTTACTACTCTGTCTCTCTATTGATTTGTTCTGTGTGTTAGTTTAATTCAATATCTGTTTAAAAAATTATTGTATGGAGATTATTTCTGTAACAGGGTTTCTCGAAGTTATCCTCCAAACATTCTGTTGAAGTGTGGTGGTTGGAGTCTTTGCATGTAGTAGCTGTTTTCATGTTCATTTTTTGTTCTTCGTAGCTTACACAAGTTCAGTGGAATCAGTGAACACCCACATGATGTCAAATGTTTCTGTAGGTTCTCTATGTAGTCGATCCGTTTGACTTTTAATACGATCTCATTATTTACTGAAATTTAGTTTCCACCACGCTCCACATTCTTAACGCAAAGTCTGGTTGCGTGCAGATGGAAGGAAATCCAGATGAAGTGCCTATTTATATTGTTCCAGAGTATGTTCCAGAGTATCGATCTGGAGGTTGTGCAGAGAAAGGACTTAGGCGATTTATGGAAGACGCGCATTTGTGTGTAGATGACTTGGAGGAAACTCTGGGTTGTCGAGGCGCCTTCTATGGGGTAGGTATTTGGGTCATTAGTGTGGTACATGACCTGCTCATAGAGGCTCTATGTATGTATGCACTGTAATTATACTCTCATGAAACTTCACCAGTTTGGTTTTGTAGTTTTTTTAAAAATATGCACCGTGACCAAAAAATAGTTAGAAGATTTGAAGTTGAATCGTTGATGTGGGCAATCTGTTTCAGGTCTTTGACGGGCATGATGGTGAATCTGCAGCATGTTACGTCAAAGAACACTTGCTGCCATTTATTCTGAGAGATGCATCCTTCTCTTCTTCTGTGGAGGATGCTGTTAAGAATGCATACTTGGAATTGGACAAAGAGTTTTTAGAAGCTTGCAGACTGAATAAGAGCCTCTCTTCGGGGACAACTGTCTTGACAGCACTTCTACAGGGAAGGTTAGTACATACATACTTAGTAGTACGCTTTGTATGTACCTATATGGCATCTGATACTATAAGTAGTGTATCGTAGTGTAGTGACTGTAATGCAGCCTGGGTCTTGTTTCAGTTGATTAAATTTTATTAGTTGATTTTCTTAGCCTTAGTTTCGTATATACTGAATTATTTTATTTATTGTTTCAAGTTTTGGTAGGGTATTACAGGGAACATTCTTCGCAGCAACTGGGAATTAGTAAACACTTACAGCTGGGTGTTCTTGGCTGGCATTGCAGAAACTTGCTTGTTGCCAATGCTGGTGATTGTCGAGCAGTACTGTGTCGAAAGGGGCGGGCCGTGCCTATGTCCAGAGATCATGTTCCAAGTGCTGCCTGGGAAAGGTCTCGTATTGAATCTGCAGGGGGTTATGTGATCGATGGCTATATTAATGAACAATTAACAGTTGCAAGAGCTATCGGAGATTGGCACATGAAGGGCCTTAAAGAAGTTGGAGGGAAGGGGCCTTTGAGTGCAGTACCGGACATTCAGTCATTGGTTCTCTCCGAAGATGACGAGTTCCTTCTCATGGGATGTGATGGATTGTGGGATGTGTTTTCCAACGAGAATGCTATTTCATTTGCTCGGAAGCAGTTGCAGCGTCACAACGATCCAGAACTTTGTTCGAAGGAGCTTGTTGAAGAGGCCTTGAAGAGGAATTCACAGGATAATGTAACTGTCATTGTCATTTGTTTTAAGGCTGATGCCCCTCCGCCGCTTGTGCTTGAAAGAAGGACCACCGTTAGAAAATTCTGCTTTCAGAAACTTTGTACTGTAATGAAGGACGTTGATATCCCCCAAGCTTCTGCCACTGAACGCAGCTGCGTTGTTTGAAGAGATTTTCACTGCACTAAGGAGTGTGCTGTAGGATTCCAACAAGGTGATGATGAAGAGAATGTTCCACAATCGTAGAGTTAGAAATATTGAGGATATTAGTAACTATGCAATAGACAAGTATCTTCGGGTAGGAAGTTTATGAAATAAAGGCTGTAAACAACTACAGTACTGATAGGCTTTCACTTTTCGGTTACAGTTGAGATTAGGCTAGATGTGTTATATCGGCGCAGCAGGATAGTTGAAACTCTGAGCAGCTTATTAGGGTCACTGGTTCTCCTTCTGCCAGTGAACAAGACATTGTCCCCAATTCCAAGGGACGAGCATTCAAGCATTGCTCTCCTGCACTTTGATGTGCTCAGAATTGAGATTATTTGGTCTTTGCGTAAGGGTGACGATAACCACGTGGGACCAACGAATTTATCGGTAGTCTATCGTTGCTGCAGTTGGATATCTGAAAGAGATACCCAATTCAACCCTATGTTTTTTTGAGTACCCAAGTGTGCATTGGATCCGTTCTTCCCTCTGTCATCGTTCTATCCAACTGACTTAGATTCCAGTTACACTTTTAATTTCCAAGAAGATATCGAATCTACATTTTCTTGACTGCTACGCTGGTGAAAGCTGCCATGGACGGCCCATCAAAAATAATTAAACAAATTGATTTGAGGATAGTATTCGCATAATGACCACGAGAAAGAATGATCCTGCTATCTGTATTTGCCCTCTAAATATGTTAATTACAGTCAAACTTGGTTGGAAGATGTAATTCTAGAAGAATGCGTTACCATAGAGCATCTATTACACTGTCCAATGTTGGCAAAGAATATCAAGAATAAACCATTTGAATCATTAATCAAGACATTGTGGGCACCCATGAGATACTCTACTTGAAACATGGGGTATACAGCATGGTCAAAGTATTATTTAGGCACCTCGAAGGCCAAAATAGAATGCTAAGTGAGTTTTGCTCATTGATTATTATTTTGTACCACAGGTTGCGCTAAAGTTTATTCTTGTTCATAAAATTTTCGGAATCACATATTTAACAGAGCAGTTTTTAGTTGTATGTCAATCATTTTCTATTTTGTAACAGTTGGACCCAGACCAATTCAATGTACTTAATCAGAAGATTACTCTCATTTGCACTGTATGCAATATTTGTCCAATGTTTATTTGTCAGAGTTCATCTGTATGTGTGTAAAGTTATGTGTAGTCATTGCAAAATAATTTGGTTTTTATCGCATAGTTTTCAAACCTTCCCACTTGGTTTCAAATTTGTTCGAATTTTTCAATTTCTTCACTACTATCAATGAATTAGCTTACCGTTGCATTAGTCATTATGAATTTTTCCAACAACCCACTGCCCTTGAATGACGCACAACTACGCTTTGCAAGGATAGTTGTAAATAATGGCTAAATCTGTTCAAAGTGAAAAAGAGAAAGCAAGTTCGATATGTGCATGTGTTCGGCTGATTTCATTTATGTGAAATTTTCACGTACACTCTTCTCAGAATTAGTGAGAAATTTCGATCCCAATAGTATTGATGAAATTTATTTGCGGCTGAGGAAGGTTTTTGCATAACACAATTAATTTCTTTTTATTTTACTATTCCTTTTTAATTAGTTGGAAATAAGAAGCTATTATGAAAAAGAATTCATTGAATTTACACGGACTATGCACTGTATTCTTTACAATATTCTGAACCTTCTCCTTCTAGCTAATCATATCATGGTGCGATCAATGTAATAATATGCTGAACTACTTCACTTAATATGATAATTATCAACCAGTTTACAGAAATTAAAAGTAAAATTTTAACACAAGTGTAATTCTTTAATCGCTTTAGTGAAACTTGACCTAGTTCTTTCATGTTTTTAAGTCATAAAAATACATGATAAAAGTGATATCTTGCAATTATACACCCATACAATTTAGCATTCAATGATAGTGTCACCAAACTATTTTCTGTACTGTTTCCAGTTCTTCAGAGGATGTTTCAGTAGAGAATCGTATTTAAAGAAAAACTTGAATTTGTTTTTGGGAATATGAGACAAGGTGATAATTTTCTTTTCCCTACAAAATTTCGTATCCCCTTGCATAACCTTCCACTTACAAGTGGCTCGACAGATTAATCTAATTCTAGAGTGCACAAACTAAAGCCCAGAGCTTCCAAAGAAGCCAAGTCTCTTTTGGAATTTTCTTAGGCTCTGAAACAGATCTGGATTGCGCCTGCCAAACGAGTTCTGTTTGAGAGAACTCATGTTTATTTGATTCTTCAACATTACATGTTCCAATACATTGGATGCACTCCATACATTCGTCCGTTCAGGAGGTTTAGTCTTCAGATGATGAGCAAATCAAAGATGTTCTCATTGTTTAGAGACTTCTGTGTTCGATTCCTGACCAGCAGAAGTGGAATTGGAGGCTGCAGGAGTATCCTGACAGAGACCTAAGAGAACCAGAGACGACCTGCACGAATCAATTCAAACAGTTAGATCCAAAATAACACTTGGAAAGAAACTGCTTCTGCCGACACCATGAAACGTTACGATTTACGATTTCCCGTTTGTCATTTCAGAGCATCTACTGATAATTGACTCGAGATTAAATTCACTTACATACAAGAAAATTCTCCTGAAAATTACTTTTTCATTGTTAACTAAAAAAAATCTCTTATTACGAGTACGCTCCGTACCGGGGAACAGTGGGCCGAACACTTGGTTGATCGGCATGAGCAGCAAGTGGCTCCTTCAAACTAGGGAAACCCTTGAGTGCATCTTCCAACTGAGCAGTAGGCAACTGAACAATCGAAGTCAACTTTAATACTTAGAAACTGAACTTCATTTACACCAGTCAAGAAGGTGAGGACGGCTCCGAGACAATTAAAAAATCACTTAGATACCACGCATCCAGAGATGAAAATTTTGAATTTCGTGCAGAAGTGCCCAAGTAGCAGAAAACCAATGTCAAACAGTAATATCTCCTAATTTTTCAGCTCTTGATGTGATAACAGTAATGAACTATAATTAAGCTGACCAGAAAATCACCTGCAACAAGACATGAAAAGACTTTGGCTTCGTTTGATGAGCACACTTGAGAAATCCCGTCCACAACTTTGGTAGTTTCCATATCTGCACAACGAATTAGTTAGCATGGATCAATCAAAGAATTAGAAATTTGAAAACAACAGAGAAAAGTCAAATTTCAAAGATAAGGAAAGATCAAACACCATACCTGCTTACTAACTAACCGAGACAAAATTTCCATGACAAAACTTTCCTGCATCACACAAAATCTTATTTAAATGAGCCAGAATAGAAGAATTGCTCATTCACTACGTGTATTTCATTCAGAAATTGAACAGGGGATTTTCCCTGAATGTTATAATAATGCAAACAATATAATTTCACAAATTTGTGCTAAATAAAAAACTGTAAAGCATTAGACCACCAGAAGCATGTGAATCAAATGCAAATGATTCACGTCCTTTAATGAATTCATCGCAGGGCAGTTGGGAGATGACCAGTAGCAAATGAATGAGCGAATATCAACAAAATGAGAGCAAATCAGTGGGTTTCGATAAAAACCAGAGATGGGAAGGAATGAACAGCTTGAATTACTGTTCGCATAAATAGCAATGGCAATGGTGTTTGCTCTACCTATACACCAATTTCACATAGTATCATAATAAACGTCAGCTACAAAGCCAAAGACTTACAAATCTCACATGCAAAAAAGTTGTGACTTCGATTGAACATGGATATTCAGCTTGCGAGACAATGCAGCTCTCTATGTGGCACGACGACAAAACTTACCAGCTGATTTAAAACCTTCGCTAGAACTTGCTGAGTGAAAACAGTACGTTGTTGAAGGCAAGTTGCACAAGCATCCATGACCTATTACACCCAGGCATACACCATGATAAGAATAGCATTGCATCCTCCGCGTCTAGCTTTTCTTAGTAAGAAAAGCACATTATAACTCAATGCGGTCACAATTTCTTAGATAATCAAGCTGTAACAAATGAAGTTCACATACCTTCTTCAAAGGGACAGAGTCTCTGTGTGGATCAATACCATGCAGAGAAATCAATACTTCAGCTGGAGTCAGGGCTGGACCAGTGTGCGCGGAGCCCTGCAGATTATAGGATGGCAATATTGTTACTACTATGACTAAATGAGGAACATGCAGATAAACTTAAACTGAACCAGATAAAATGTTCGATATCAGTCGACTCCAACAAATTGTCCAATTTATGGTGATACCTGCAAAATGCGAGCGAGGGCAGCCTGGAATTTCTCATTGCTCAAGTCTACCAAACGTGGAAATATTGGAGTGACCTGCCATCGAGGGATAACCAACCTTCAAAATCTGACAGTAAGGTCGCTGATTACTACGTTCAAAAGATGCAAGTATGATCTTCAGATTAGGGATACTGCTGCAATCTACTGATCGTTTGAAGATGTACTATCCTAGCGAATTTAACCCACGTGAAAGTGTACAAGCAATTCAGATATTGAAAACATTTAAGATTTGAGAAAGACATTAGACCTCATCCTTGGACAACGAGGAAAGCACGGGTATAAGGTAGGTTGCATCCTGTTCCAGTTCACAAAACAAACCCAATTCAGCTTGTGCCTTCTGATCTAGGTCAACGTAATAGCAGCAAGCATCATAAACATAATTTCATTGGACTAGGAAGGAACAGGCCTAGAAAGCTCATGCGTACAATCCTAGATTAAAAAAAACTTCGTTAAAGTTTTGTTTATATGTTTCTTAGACTTGACATACCTGAAATTTAACATCATAAAGCTTCTTCACAGTAGCAATCAGCTCCTCGGAAGGTTCAGTACCATCCGTGAGACTATGAAGTACCTGCAAACCAGTCAGACATGTTCTGAAGTAAGACTCACACCGACAGCAGGTACTCGAGTCTAAATATGAATTTACTGCGCACTCTTTGCAGTCTTATCAAACCCGTAATGAAGGTCCGCATGTCAACAGTGTGCACATGCACGAGTCATGCGGGGATTAGCTAGAAATAAATATTACATAGATGACCTTAATATTCAATGTTTAATATTTATTAGTCTCTGTCAGTCTAGATACAACGGAGAGCTAAGTTTTGATAGTCAAATGACTCTCCTCCCGAATATGCCAAAAATTAGAATCCCTAATTGAAAGTTCAAATTGGCAAGCTAATACTGTGAGACATCGGCTCCCCGATTAAGGATCAAGATAAGTTCCAACCTGCAAAAGAAGATTCTCGCTACCAGCAGGAGGATCAGCAATGAGCTGAAGGAGCTCCTGGGATGAAGATCCAATAGTGCGGAATAAAATAGGAATGTGCCTGTGGACAGCCTGTGACAAAACAACTTCAATCTCGTCGTTTTTTTCGTTTAGCAAGTTGGAAAACACACTAGCCTCGTGTACAGAAAGAATTAAACTAAAAGGAACCGTATAGAAGAATCTATTCTAATCAAGTTTCACCTGCTTCACCACCTTCGAAGATCTGCCGTAGACCTGAAATAGCTGACGTAGCAGTGCATGCTTCTGCTTAGGTCAGACAACAGAGCGGCAAGGATTAATAGCATTACATAATCAAGCGCTAGTTCTCACAAGTCGGCGAAGGAACGTTTCGTAACCAAGGTCAATCCAATTCAAAATATACACCTCACTAGTATCGAGATAACTCCAAATCCACTACTAAATTATGTTTTTAAACATAACGTCTGTGCTAACCAAAGTTCCGGACATAGAGTACGAAGAAAGAAATTCGGAGAAATCCTCACTAACAACAAACTCAAAGCTTCTGAGTCCCTAGACTTGAGGAAAGTCCACTACAACAGAGGCTTCAAGAGGAAGGACCCACCTTGGTACACAGGGCGAAAAAAAGAGACATACACCGTTGAGCTTCAGATAATGACAAAACTTCAGTGTTCTTCGCAGCTGTAGTGGGTTGTTGTGCGCCTTCATCACCGGCCACGTCCATTGGAGCTACCCCATTAGCTACTCGCTGATCCTCATTCATTAAGTCGGTTTTCACAGTATTGTCACCCTCCAATATATCCCTCTCTGCGGTATCCCCAGATTGATGGTCTACCACCGAAAGAAGACTTGCAGTTGCAAAATCTTCAATGTTTTGCGCCACAAATTTGAGGGGATACAGCTTATTAGCGACCTACATTAATTGTGGCATGTTAGTATAGAAGAATTCAAAAAGGAAACGACAAAACTTAGAGACAAGATTCAAGACGTTAAAACCTAGGGTCCAAACCGTTCGCAGCAACGAACAAACACTTGAATGGTCGATGTAACCCTTGTGCAAGTTGTAAAGCAACTTATAGTGGAAATAGCAGTTAATAGGTTAACTATACCAGTCGAATTGCTTTCGCTCGCGTGTCATCTGATTCGTGAACTGTACACTGCAAACACAAATCACTGTCAAAATGATTCTCAGAAAGTGAAATACAAGAAATTACCAAAAATATAAACACAGAAGAACAGTAATGAGGGTGAAAAGTCTGACCTTGAGAGCCATTTTTAGACAAGTGTCTCGTGTAGGTGGTCGTTGCAAAATCAAACTCCACAAAGCAGTGAGTCCCGCTGTAACATGCTCACCCTTTGATGACTCTGCTCCACTTGGTGGATTACAAAGCTCTTCCACAAGCTTCAGTGTGCTCATTGGGACCACAGGAGCTTCACCTAAAAGCCGACTTAGAGACCTATCACCAGCTGAAATCTTGTCTCTCAAACCTTGTGCCTGGTTGGCACGTAGAGACAACCAGGACCATAAGTGTGGTAATCCTTCGAAATCATCACAATCAAAAAGACTGGTTTCGAACGTGATCAAAAAAGTCATTCAATGTGCATCTCATCACATAGCGAAGGCAGCAGCTAAAACTGATTAGAAAGCCATTATTGATTCAATTTTACATATTTTGCACATCCTGCTGGTTCGCTCTAATGTCCCTCTACTGACTCGTACATATGCGCTACCAGAAAAGTACTACTGCAGAGACTGCTAATGCAGCCAAAGATGGGTTCCGCTAACGCACCAGTGAAAGTAAAAACTGCTCGTAGGCAAGTGAGGTAGACATTGGCTGTTCCACATCACTGCACGCATGCTCTGCGAAAAGTTGGTAAAGTACGTGTAGCACCAACTCGTGACCCTGCGCCCCAAGCCAGAAAATTCAGAGAAACTAGTGGCCGATCACACGTCCACAACTATCACACTCCGGAGGAGTTACATATCACTTTCATACAAGCCATTCTATATGTATCCTTTCTAAGTTGTTTTAAGGCTAACAGAAACCAGAACCTACATCTATTCCAAACGCTGTAAGAATTAGCAAGCATCCTCGTGTAACGCACTTAAGAATATCATTTTCATCTACACCATGTACGAAGCAACTTTCCACAATTTCCAATCAACGCCGGATTTTGCAAGATATTTGAGAATACAATTTCCATGCAAAATATAGTCAATTTATCATCATGAAGACTAACCAGACTGCAATGAAAGAATATAACTTCTGGTACTTAACCATCGTACCTTGTGAGCTTGGTAGTCAGCTAGAACATGCTTTTGCAAAACCTTCAAGACTTCGGTATCTTCGTATGACTGCATGAGAATGGCATCAAATCAAAACACATGTTAACGAAGTATTGAGAGGAGACAACCCAGACAACATGAATAATGAGAAACATAAAAGAATTTATGCCTGCACATATGTCATATCAACATTACATTGATTGTGTAAGAAATCTCTCTTTTCAATTAATAACTCAAGGACCAAAGAATAAAACAATGCAAAAGTGACACAAAAATTTCAGCATGTACAGGTTGGTAAAGTTGTGGCAATAAACTTAAGAAAACGATAATGCTCAATAAATCATCAAAAGGTAGGGGAGAAAGTAGTTTTTAAATATTATTTTACATCAAGATATTATTCCAGAAAATAGTGCAAGAAAACCCAGAATAAATTCTGCGAAAGAAAGACCATTGATACATAAGATGTAAATCGGAAAAAAAGAAAAACAACCACGAGTCTGGCAGAAAGGGGGCGTCAATCCTGTACTACCTGAGCAACTAACCGAGCCAGTAGAGCGATTCGAAGGTCTGCACCACCAGCTGCAGCAATGGTCTTGTGATTCTCCATTATCCGCACCAACGAAGCTGTGCTCAGTGCTGCTTGTTGTTCTGCAGAGAGTGGTAGTAGCGTAATCACTGGTGAAGGAACTGCCACACGAAAGGGAGATCAGTTTCAAAAATCAGATGAGCAGATGAAGAGTATAACGCAATGGAATAATAAGGACAGTCAAAAATAATCCAACACTATCCAACATTATCTAGCAGACCAGTCGCAAGAATGTCATATCTCCGGTAATCAGTACAACAAAAACAACCCAACGCTTCTCTGTGCTACAAGGAGAGAGGAGCCTCACTTTATACAGTGAGCCGACACAGAATGACTTCGAATATTATATATGTTCCTATCCCAAGTCAACTAAAACCTGTTCGTGTTGATAGAGAGAGCTTGATCATTGATAAAGAACTTGAATAATACTGAGGTGATCATACCTGGAACAGTAGATACTCCAGACTGTGGAGGTGGTGACGAGGGAAGAGATGGATCAGAGACGACTCGATTCTCTAGTTCGATTGGCTCCTGCTTTGGCTCCTGCAGTGGCTCCTGCTTCAGCTCCTGCTTTACTTGGATATGAGATTGACCAATTGATCTATGATTTGCATTTACATGAAACATAGCACGTGGATCTCTTGAATTTGTTGATACATTTAACGTATTCTCTAAATTCGAATTCCCCGTTTGTGCGTTTGCGACAGGCGGAGGAACAGCATTCACCTCGACCTCCAATTTCGGTGTCAACAAAACAGTTACACCGTCAGAAGGCACTGCTGGTCGAGGATCCAGTCGCCGAGGGTCCTGAATGCAGCCATGCCATGCACACAGTAAGTTGCTTAGATGCAAAGACCGTCTAGGTTCGTATCCCTTGAGGAACATCTTGCAGAAAATTATATTCGTGTCACTGTGAGCAGAACAGGCACAATGGAAGCGATACAACGTTAACATGTTTGGTGCTGAATGACAACATTTGCAACGTCGTATTGTACTAAAGACAGTCCTGAAAAAAATCCAGTATCTTCGATTGATAACAAACATGTACTGTGCACGCAGTTTATCGTAGAAGTCATATGCTCCTAGTGTTGGATTCCGCTGGGCAGAGATTGAATGAAAATACCTTCCGCAAATCTTGAGAAAGATCCGCAGTAGATGAATAAGGTTGGAGAGCAGGTGCACTCTCTATTGGTAAACTGGTTACAGGATTCACTGGAATTTCTGGAGGACCTGAAGGGGGAATAGGACCTAGACCCCAATTTGCGCCGAAATTCACTTCTGGAGTAAAAGGAGGAGTGCTTGGCAGATGAACCATATTGGCAATAACAATTTCAGCGAGCATGTCAGGTGTCAAACTCTCTATCAATATCTGAACAGAAGCAGCTCCTCTTTCTCCTTGAGCTAATAAAGTTGCAAATGCTGATATAAGAGGAGCTACGCTATGATCTCCATATGCAGCAGTATTTCCCATAACGTTTCCAGTCCCATTTGGAATGACAGGTGTCGCTTCACCTTGAGTTGTAATGGGGGCTACATCATGTCGGGACCGTTTACCAGAAACTTCATTGAAGTCAATCGATTGCACATTTCCGTTTTCTTGAGGCAGGGACCTCTTGCGAAGTGACATGTCTACTGGTGCTGGTGCAATAACCTGGATGGTAGAGACTTGAGGTGTTGATACGAATGGTGAGATTCGCTCCTGAACAAACGAAGTGGCACAAAACCAAGAGTTGTAAACAGCACATAATTGTTGAACCAAAAACGCGGGAAGATGCTAGGGTTTGCAGCACCAGGATAAGTACACTAAGAATACATCACTCAACAAACACATCAATTGACTTGAATTGCTCACTGTCCCCAGCCAGCTTGAGACACACCATAAAAGGGCGACCCAGAAAGAGGCCGACCAGATATCAAAGGACAAATGTGAATTTCAAAGCGTGATAAGTCGAGAGGCGTTCGATTAGTACTCACAAAATGAAAACTTTCAATTCAACAGCACAAACAGCACAAACAAACAAATATACTTATATAAAACCAACATGACGACTAATGGAGATTACCTCGTCAAAAAAACCCATTTAAACTCAATCCCAACAGCAAGGCCTTAGAAACTTTTATCCCCAGCGCACTTAGACAAGAAATGCAACCATTTAACCAATTTCTGATTTAAAATTTTAAATACCATTCCTACAAAGTCAGTTAAAACAGCGCTGCCAACCTTAGTAGAAACTCTAGTGTCCTTCGCTGTACGGTTTCGTTCTGCGACTCGCACAGCCCTCTCCAGATGTCTGATGGTTTGATCAGCTATATCCCCCACGTTCATGGACCTCAAAGCTGCAACCAATCGATCTCGCCACTGCAAATAGTATTCCCAAACCAGACATCAGTCCCTATTCATTGAATTTGTCCATGGAGATAAATATATAAAATAAAGAGATGCCACATTCACAGAAATACCTCCAAGCAACTTCGTTCTATTCCAATTAATCTCACAGTCTCAAGGACTGCTTGCGTCTAACTTGAATCTCCAGTGACAACAAAATCAATTCGTACGCACAAACTAAAACATTCACATTTCAAGATAAAGCTTCAAATGATGATCCCTGCTCATCTTGATCAGCAATTAATAATCTAAGCTAATATTTTCCGGAAACACGCCTAAAGTAATCGGAAAAAATTAACAGGAAAGTTTAAAACCAGTTCACAAAGGAAGTAACAGATATATCTTAAAACAACACCAAAATTAGCGAAAGGGTAAGGAAAACAAACAATAGACTAACCGGTAGAGCACCAGGCTGATTTGATTTCAGAAGATTAAGAAACGCGCTTTTCAATTCGTGAATAACACTTGCAATTTGACTGCCCTGGATAGGCTCGCAATTTGGTGCTAAGGCTAACAAAACTGGAAGAATTCTCCCAAACATAGATGGCCTTTTCTTTGCAATACCTGCCAGACTGCATCATGTCCACATTTAAGAATGATGACAATGCCAATGCAGAGAATATTCCACACAAGAAGAATAGAAATATAAAGAAAGATATATAAAGACACGGTACTATACGCAACGCTTCAATAAAAAATTAGAGTGGAACATGATATTTCCGGACTCCACGAAAACATCACAAGGAAGAGGAAAACTTCTCAAAGTTCAAAATAATCTACGACAGACATACCAGCTTTGTGTAAGTAAAAAGCTTATGGTTATAATCCAACACCGAACAGATTAAAAGCCGCTACAATGGGAAATTAACCAATTAATTAAATCTACTTAAAATGTTGAAAACGGTGGTAGAAAACTGAAGCATTCAGAACCGTTACAGGTCTTCAGCACGGGATTCAACTGTACGACTCAATAGAATTAACCATCTTTAACATCCAAGGAGCAGAAAAAAAAGACTTCTTTGATTTCCTCTCACATCATTAGCGTTACACAATGGATCCAAAGAAAAACAAAATATTAAGGCCAAATAGGAGCCACCAACGATTGAGATATATATTGCTAATAATATGGATATGAACCTTCTGATTACTGAACGAAAATTCATTGTAGGTACCGTTCAGCACTTCTAACGAAAAGCTGCATGCAAGGATGTCAAAAAGCCATAAGAACCTCTTATCCTGGACAAAAAAGGAAGACTGTAATTTCCTATAACGGCCCGAGCACCTTTGAAGAGGGTTAATAGTATCTAAATTTGACAAAATCTGAAAATGAGGCAGTCCACATAAAGGCCTAAGGACTGTATGATATGATGATCATATTCGCAAAATGGACCCAGATGTCGTCAACATCATGCGGACACGGAAGCACTACGATTTTAATTGCACGACTTGGTGCAATGTGCAGATGGGATACACAATACTATGTACGAATCAGAATATAATTATTGTTACACATGTGACAATAAACTTCTTCATTATCATAGCAAAATCATATCATCAACTTTGAGAAGATATAGGAACATCACGCCAATGTAAATGATAGCACTACTACCAATGCTGTTAAATGACATGTCCACTAATAATTAAATTTTTTAAGTTCGATTTAAATCTGTGAAGTCCGGAAGAATCGTACGGTCGAGAGCACCAGATGCCAGTACAATCACAACTATCAGATTCATGACGAACTGACTCCTAGTCATGTTCCCAATCAAGCAGCGACCACGACTACATAGACCCACATTACGTAACACACGGCAAGTCTCAAAAATAAGCTTTATTTCCTCCAGCGGGTTACGTAGAACCGTTCCCAGCATACGGGGACTACTGAGACAAAAGGAAGTGTAGGGCATTAACCTGTTAATAATTACAATGGCAACCAGGCAAGGAAGCGTAGATGCCTCTGGAGTCCGTAATTGGTTCAACAGAAGTCCAAGGTTTTTACTGGCCTCCTGTCCCAACACAGTCGCATCTAAGACCGGGTGTCCTCCAGCTATCCATGTCATATTAAACCCTCTTGAGGTACCTGGTCCACCAAACTAAAACATTAAGTTCGAGTCCTAAGAAATAGTGTTGTGACTTCTAAAATCACAATGTGCACATTACAAAGCACCATGTGAAGCTCATAGCAATACTTTCTACCTTGCACATGGATTTCTCTGTGGAATTTCTGTGGTCAAAGAAGACGTAAAGAATAAAAAGTGTACAACCTGCAATTTGATACACAAACTTACAAGTGATAATTGCTTTGTAATAATCTAAAGACTAATTATCACAAGCAACGAACTCTAACAACAGTGACAGTGCGGCGCTCTCTTTATGCCTCCACCTTCCAGTTGAAATAAACCCAACCATGGCAATGCCACGATAAGGAACACCCCGTTGATAACAACTCAAGGCAGCAATTAGGTTATCAAATCCATCAATTCAAAAATGGCCTAGTTACCCTCTATATAACTATCCACCTTGCCTCACAACATTCAAATGCATTAACACCATGAGAAGAAGAATGAATCTGTAGCTGACCGTCAGAAGACTGTTGGTTTGGCAATAAGCCGTTGGGGTCAGGTGTAAATAGCAAAATTGTTGTCTCCACGAACTTGAGAGCCAGCAGACGTACCCCGTCGTTTCCATGCTACAAACACATCAGAAAGTAGTCGATAATTAGTAGAAAGCTAATTCAGAGTCAACTTGAAAATTATTATTGCTAATTTTAGAATTTCCTGCAAATGTTCAGGGGGTCATAAACACGACTTAAATTTCCAAATTCATAACTTGAATTCCGAATGCAATTTACAACACAAGTTGCAATCCGAATTCGCATACAAACATTCACCGAGTTCCTAGCATGATATGTAAGAGTTTCATGAGCATCCTCTGCTCCATGATCTGGCAATTGAACTAGTCCATCTACAAGACATTTAAAATAAATTCAAAACCAAACTCGTTTGCATGTGCTTCCAGGACGTTTCGAGATCACCCTAACCATAAGAGAAAGGCTATGTCCAAACGAATCAGTATCGAAATGCCCGACGAACCAAGGAAGAGGAGCATAATGCAACTCTTCTGTCCAATTAAAAACACCTTTCAAACAGAAGCTTCCACTCTCTGATTACCTGAAAAGCTAGAGAAAAGACGGCATCTTTAAAACAAGTCATCCAGTTCCAGCAATCCACTAGCCGCCGTTCAACCTGCCCGCTGTAGACACCCTATGCAGAGTCCACAACCATCAGATTCATTGATCCTTGGCCCAATTTTCTAATTTAATCACTACATTACAGCTGAACATACTGAAAGACAAAAATTAGGAAGATAAACAAATATGTTTAAAGAGAGAGGGAGAGGGAGAAGAGGAGGCGGGGGATTTCTTGAATGTGCATGAACACGCGACAAAAAGTAATAAAAATGTAAAAATAAAAAGAAGGGTAAAAAAAACGTCATAGGCATAATGGTTGTGAGTGTTGTGAGGTCATGTGAGATATAAGACAGACAACATCAACATGAACCAGACTGTACCTGAAGGGCAACTTGTTCCAGAACAGACCGAAATATATTGCTACCACTAGTGATAGCCCGCCGAGCAACTGCTGGTGTAGCATCTTGCAAAAGTGAGAGTAAAACAGGAACTATGACTGGCACGAAGTCAACATGTTTCATACCAATTCCTTCTATCATCCTGCACACAGACAACACCAGCTCCAATTTGACCTCTTTGAGAAGGCTGGAATGCGCGGCAACCCTAAACCCTAAACTTCTTGTGAACCTGTGCGGAAGTTTATGCTTGACATTCAAAGTGCGAATACTTATTTTGAAACAAACCTAAACCAAATCATACAATTGATTCAATCGAAAATTTCCCATTGAAAACTGCCGGACATAAGTGTCAAGAGAAACGGCCCTTACAAATTAAGCACGTATTGAAAATATGAGAGTAGAAGGATGGAAGTGAGACGCACTCTGCAAGATATTTACGAATAGGGCTACCGGGCTCCGTCTGAAACTCCATCAAGTACGGTACAAATTCAGGAAGCAACGACAACGGATCCCGATACAAAACGAGCTCCATAAGAGTTTTTAATAAATCCACTTTCGCTGAGGCTTCCCCGGTCATCTTAACCTCGTTTAACAGTGCCACAGCTTGCTCCCGAATCCCCGCCATTTTCTTCTGCCTTCTCGTCGTAATCGCTCTCCAATCCCTCTTCTCAACACCACGCTCTCCACATCCTAATCGCTTGTTCAGAAAATACTAACCTACCTCATGTCTGCAAGTACTTCATTCTTCAAGTATCTGCATCATCTGCGTCCGGAGCATCACCGTCGGCACTCCATCGAAACAAGCGCTCATCGCCATTCCCTGGCTCCGCAAATTATTCCCTGCTGCTCTGAGCCCTCACTCACGGCACCAAACTCTAAACCAAAAAGCATCCGCGGTTGGAACCATTGAAATTGCTCTCAAGGAATGCACCACGATCCAGACACAGAATTGGTTTCCCAGAGTAACAGCAGCCCCGCAGAAGAAAGGAGGGGAAGAGGAATGGACCAGGGAAAGGGAAAACGGAAAAGAGCCCAGGCGTATGGCGAAGGCGGGCAACGGAGGAAGAGGAGGGAGGGAGCTACAGGTTGAATAGGAGGAGGACGAAGCTTTATTTACTTATTTGTGTATGTATGTATTTATTTGTTTAGGGCTGCGGTGACGAAGATGTTTATGATGGCTCTCTCCGCGCGCGCCCCCTCTCTCTCTCTCTCTTTCTCTCTCTCTCTCTCCCCTCCCCCTGTCTGTCTGTGCCGCGCCATGCCGCGCTCCCACGTTCCCTTCTGCGTTCCCTATGCCGTAAGCCTTGCAACACCACACCCTCACAAAATTTTGTCCGTAAATTGGTTTCATTTTTTTTTCCTAATGTGATTCAGTAAATTTTAAATTATTTATTATATCAATAAATTAATGATAATATAATTATCTAAAAATTTAATATATTTATGTTTATTCAAACTCTAACAATGAAGAATTATATGATATTTATTTATTGATGTGTTTGAATTCATATTATGTTGACATTTGGAATTATAGTATTTATATGTTACAGGAGGATGAACAGGATTTTTTCTTAAATGAAAAAAATACATATCTGTATTTGCTTATGTAGAAACACATTACTGATTTTATTTATTTTTAAATTTAATCTTTTGTTACTTCCAAGAGAATACTTCTATTTTTCTTTTTGTATAAGAGTGGAACTGCATAAGATATTTTCATATTATCAGTAGTGAGACTATATATGGTTGTATACAAAATTATTTCAATAATAAAAAGTGACAAACTGCCTTGTAAAATTGCAAAAAAAGTGTAATTTCATGCCATTAAATTCATTTTTTAAAATGACAGTAGTATAATTATATGCCTCTTTCAAAGTGAGTTTTTGTATTTGACTTTTGATACTACAATGCTTTGCTAGATGAGTGACAAGATAGAGGTTTTAGTTTTGTTGATCTCTTTTCTTTGTAACTTTGACAATTGAATTACTTGTCTTCTTTTACAAACTACAAGTCTTTTTTATGTGTTTTATAGAATAGATATGCAAGTGCATTGTCTTGAATTGCATTCTTGCCAACTTTAGGCTTTCAATATCAAAGTATTTACTACGGAAAACTTTGTGTGGTGTCCCAATGAATATATAATTAGGAGTAGTTTAATATTGTTGCAAATGCTTTTGTAATTGTCTATACTTTATCTATAGTAGTAATGACGTCAAATGATCTAAGAAACGTTGATGGATGCTTTTTGCAATTGTTCTTTGAGATTGACCCAATTGCTACAGCATGCATTGAAGATGAGATTATACAATGTTCTTTACAATGTTGATGGATTGAATTGAATGAGATTGTATAAACAAATGTGGGTAAATAATGGCCAATCCGTGCTCTACAAAAGGTATTAGGGGCAATCCAAGAAGGAAGGTATGAGTTGGAAGAGAAGCAAAAGTTTTGCCTAAAAAAGAGGTTGGTTTTACACACTATTATGTGAATACAATAAGAGATACTCCATCTCTATGCAATCACGTTTTATGTCATCTTCTTTCATTAATGAATACATATAGACATTTGTGAAATTTTATTTTTTTATTTTTTACTATAGTTTGATACCTCAATCAACTATTTTTAGGATTTTCATACAAAGAGTAAGAATCACAAACCCAAAAGAAGGATAATATTGAGATGGGTGGTTTGAAGAGATTTTGAAGAGATTTGTAACGTGGACAATTGAATTATAAAACAACATATTTTTTGTAACCATGGCTTGGCTTCAGCAAGTCTTATCTTACAAAATAGCTTGATAGTCTTAATTTTATAACTTAATTTTATAACTACAATTATATATATATATATATATATATATATATATTATTACATTTACATCTTAAAAATTCCTAGTCTTTCGAAACAACAGATTTAGTAATAATTGATTTTACAAAATATTTTAAGAAACATGGTCATAAACTTCGAGTACAGGCCCTGAATTCCTCGCTTTGACGAACCAAAAAGTCACGTATATCTTGGTACTCCTTTAGTTCTTTCAAAACGTCGGATGCGGTTCTCAATTTGATGAGTGTGAATTCTATTGATGGTGGAAAGGTGACCTTTCCGGTGCCAAACGACAATCCTGATCCTGCATTGTCTCCTAGACTAGTAGCTCGGCGAATTTCGCCAGGTCGCCCCCTGATGCTGTTGCGTATAGCAACAGAGTTGGGCTTGGGTGGACTATTCTTGACTATCCCAGTGGATTTCGCAACAGGATGGTATGGAGTAAGTCCAGCTCTTGACACAGGAAGGTCTGTTAAGACGGGTTGTGTCCATTGCTGGCGTAGTGGAGGTGCTCTAGACAAAATCCTGACTAATGCCCCAGCATCAGACCCTGGGGTGTTTCCCTGGAAGTCAGGCGAATCAGGAATCTTTGACCTCACACCTGGACTTCCAACCCTGACAACAATAATTAACACGGAGAGTGAATAATCACACCACCAGTGTTCACAGTTGCACAAGATCTTACAAACATTATCGCAACAACATACCAGAGCCTACAAAAAAAGCAAGACTTACAAGTACGGTTGCTTGTTGTCTAACCAAAAATCTATGTACACTCTGAACCCCTTCAGTATGGAGCGATACAGTTTAGTGTAGATCGAAACATGCCTCACACACCTGAGTGCTTGCATCATGACCAACTACCATCCAACTACTCTACGGCAAGACCTTCAACTACTACGCTCACTGTGTAATTGTGTGCACAATCAGATTAGCCAGAAAAAATCCATGCAGCTTGCAGTGTCAGAGAGGTATTCTAATCAGCACAACGTTTAACAAGAACTATAACTTCGCTACACATCAATCAGTATGCAACCATTTGATCAAACCGGAGTACCTGCTTCGATAGTCTCCTGCTTTACCGTCGTCGATTGCAAATGGACACTCCTCAGGGTCCTCATGATTGTGGATAGAAACCTTGCTGGAGGTTCTAAAGCCACCTTGTAAGAACTCTGAAGGACGGTACACAAAGCGCTTAATGCCTGACTGAGATAGCTCAGCAACCTGTTTTTCTAAGAAGATCTGGAACCCGAACATGAAATGCCTTATCAGTTCTTCGTCCATGAGGACACAGTGCTGAACTGAAAAGAGGTAAGATTCTTGGGAAAAACCTTATGCAGAGAAGATGAAGGGGGATGGGTGTGGTGAAAAAGAAGGGAAAGGCAGAGAGTGTGTATAGGAATAAATTGCGAGTCGTAGGGAAGATAATGAGATGAAGATAGATGCATAAATCCCTTTGTGACGAAGAGTTTCAAAGTGAGAACTTAGAGCACGTGTGTCGGATGAGGAGGAAGAGTAGTGGAAGAAATGAGGGGGTTCTGGGTGAGGAGTTTTAAAAACCAAGTAAATAACTAGAAGGGAAAGAGAAACATCATACATAGGAAGGCAAAAATAGTAAATGGTGCAGGCGGTGACTGCACCTTGCGTATGCCCCCACTCCAACTGTAGAGTCGTCCAAGTACCGAGGTTGGAGAATTTGGCGCTGAACCTGAAATGAATTACACCTTATATAAGCACAAAAATGAACTCCAAAATCCCTCATAATTGTTTTTGTACCAACCGAAAATGAGACTCAGAGACAAGGTAGTTCTAAACAATCGTTAGAACCAGACTAGCGACAGAGTTGAACTTTACATAATGGGTTAATTCATGAAAAACACCGACCTGACACCCATTATCAGCATGCATAGTAGGCAACAAGACACTAAATGAGATTCCTCTCCGAAGTAATCTGGAAACACAAAAGTAGCACACATTGTGCTAGCTCTGTCAGATTGTGACAGCACTTGAAGGGGGTATGAAAGGTTGAGAGGTATTCAGCAAGTAGTTGAATCTTGTTGCCTACCATAACTAACGCATCTATATATACACAACGCGCTCGATTTGATTCGGCAATATGAAAGATCATAGGCGGGAATACCTGAAGACGTATTCCAAGTCTCAGAAGACCCCAAAATAGCCGAAGGAAAACAAGATGGGAGAGACCAACTGCTTAATGTTTCATAAATCGTCAAGAGAGGTCAAGAGTATTGCGTTCACCTGATGAAGGAGCAACACATGTCCCCCGTCCATCAGAACGTCCCCTAGATTCTGGAAACGATCCTACTCTGTCAATTCTTCGCAAGGGTTGAGTTGTCGGGCTGTCGAGATAATTGGGGATTATCTCCGGTACAAATTGAGGGGTAACTTGCAGGGCTGAAACAGCAATTACATTCTTGTACATGGCGGCGATGCACAATCTGCCCCACTGCGTCTCAATTGGGGTTAAATTGCAATTTGTCATCCCGCTTCTATCCTGTTCCGAGAGCGCTGGAGGTGCATGAGAGACCATGTATGAGAGGGAGAACCGCGGGCTGTGTGACACAGAATTTGGGGGATTGAACAGCCTGAAGGCGGGCAAAGTGCGCGCCAAACAATATAAAGAGCGTAACATAATCACTACCCTCTTATACACAACAGGGAACTCCAGAACATTATGCGCCGGAGCAGCAGAGGGTGATAATCCTCGTTTTTGACCTAAGCTTGAAAAATCCTCATCCACGGGAGAATCCCCTTCAGCAAACGGCTGCTTCGTCTGATCATAGCTCACAACCCACCTTTCAAGCAAGGTCAGCGACACCTCCCTCGCGGGCGAAAAGATGGCGCCATCACTACCATCACTCCACGATTCCCCCCTCAAATTAGGCACCCGCTGCGGCGATTCACTCCACTCATCAGACCTGCGCCGTCGGTTTGAACTCTCGTTACCACAAGATGACGACGACGGCACCTCCATAGCCTCCGTCGGCTCGTGAAAAAAGATGTCCACCACCATGGGCTCGTGACACACACCCCGAATGCACGCATCCACACTCTTCTGCACATGGTCGGAGCTCTCTACCTCCAAGTTGAACAGCTTAGCGGTCTCCTTCCGTGTGCTTCCTCCACCCCATCCCTCTCCGACCATGTACATACAGTCATACCCATCTCTGCCGGTTCCGCGCCTCACGCCCTGTTTCTGCCGATGAGGTATCCTCGCCCCGAGAATTACACGCAACGCCTTGGCACAACATTCCGACACCATGGAATCCATCTCTGCCTTCTCCGTCTGCGAGGAACCGAGCGAAGCCATTGCGAAGGCTCCACCAAACACTGATCCCCACCAATCCTCTCTACAACCAACCCATTCCCGTGACCTTCCTCCTACAATTCCACCGCAAGCACCGCCTTCGAATTCCGCCTGTCGATCACTCGCAGCAGCACCACCAGTCCCACCACCACCACCTTGTGGGCAAGCGACAAGGAGACTGTGGCCTGATCCGGCGCGTGAAGAAGCAACAAGAGTGCCCGTGAAATTGGGTTGCATGCTCATGGGCATGATTCAATACTGCTCCTGGCTATCATCTGGACCCACGCTCAACACGAGCTCAGCGGAGTGTAATCGGCAAGCGCCGCAACTCCAATTCACGCAGCAAAACTGCGCTTCCTCGCTTCCTCGCTCCCTCGCTCTCTCTCGCTCTGTGTCTGTCTTCAAACGTCGACGAGTTGTGCTCTCTAAGCCCCGCTTCGTCTCACGGGCGGCGTCCTTCAGACGGAGAGACGCCCCCCAGAAAGCCCCAAGTGGGAATTATCCCTTCTTGAGTTGTGTGGGACCCCAAAGCATTACTTCGTTTCAACTCTATTTAACATAACACACAATCGAAGAGTTACCTTGATTCATATATATATATATATATATATATATATATACATAGAACCATTTATGTTTATCTTCAATTTTATTGGCAAAGAAAATTCTTGTTTACTTCAATAGCTTAATAGATAATAATCAAAGAAATGCATTGTAAAAAAAACATTAGATAATGATAAATGGTAACAAATGTGAAAAGATAAAAATAAATTTTTACATTGTGAGAGGGTATATTTTTTTAGTGATTCTGACATAATTTTTATTTATTTTATCAAACAAAAATTCTATTCTATTATAAAAAAAAACCTCAAATCCATAAGTTTATTATGTATGTATGTATGTGTGCATATATGAAAAAAAAATATATAATCTATAAGTTTACCATATATCTATCTATAAATATATATATATTTAAATATATATATATATATATATATATATTTAAATATATATATATATATATTTAAATATATATATATATATATTCTAAAAATAATAGTATATACGTAAAACACTAAAAGCCATTCATTTTTATGTTTGTCCATGTATTTACAAACTTATTAAAAATAAAGATTAAAATTTATAGCTAATTTTTGTCTTATTTATGGGTCTCATTAAACTAAATAAATAAAAAGAGACCCAACATTTAAATCTAATATCAAGAGTAAGAAACAATGAACTATACCTATATTTTATGTTATCCACTTTGCAAAAAGCAAATGATTTTTATTTTTATTTTTATTCATATTTGTGTAGTAATATTTTTGAAAACAAATCATTTAACTTCTTTAATTCCACATTTCCAAGAATATTCAAAATCCTATTACTCAACATGTTACCTTTTAACTTTATTAATGTTGATCTCAATTATTATTTTTTGTTATTTTTTCTTTTCTTTTCTCTTATTTTTTGTGCAATTTTTTTGCAATTTAAGAAAAATGATGTACAAGCTGAGGTTTTTAGTTAAAATTCTACATTTTAAAAAAAATTACTTTAATTTTACACTTAACATTTTGATTGAAACAATTTTATAATGGGTTTTGATTGACTGCCATGTATTCATGGAAATTTGCATTGCATGGATGTAGAAATAATGAATTAGCAAAGGTATAAATTTATAGATGAATGAATTTTTCAAAATAAATCTCTACTAAAGTGCACATGAATGTATTAAAGTTGAAGTTTTCAATCTGAAATTGTTAAACATATTACAAAGATGCAAGCATTTCATACTGTTTATTGAATGTTATTTATTCAATTAGTTTTTACAACCCATTATAATGTTGTGAAAAAATTTAATCAGCTTAAAGCTATTGAAATTATATTTTTTAAACACATTGAATTGTAAAACTGAATAACAAATTACAGTGTCAGAAACCGCATCAACATAAGTGTATCACAATAATAATATCAGTGTAATGAATATTAGATAATCTATAAAATCAGGATTCACAATATAATCTAATATTAAATTGCAACACTTGATAATCAAGAACTAGAATAGAAAGTAATCAAACCATTTAAGTTAATAATTTGGATTTATTTTATTTTATTTTGAATGTTACAATTAAAATTTATACATTTACATTTCATAGGGAATAGATTCCTTATACACTTCCAGTGATTACCATCAAACGGTACAGTGGTGTCTGCAAATTTCGGTTTAAATACAAGTCAACATGTGGCATAGTTTACAAGTCTAAATAATCAAAATTTAAAATTTTGAATCTTAAACTGTACTTTTAATTTTAAAATATCATTGAAGTATAATTGAGAAATTTTTTTAACGTGTTTAATTTATTTTTTGTAATAAGATTGTACTTAATACTAAACAAAAACCCATTTACAATAAATATTAAAAACATGCCATAATATAAGTTAACTATCAACTTGAAATGTGTAAAAATTATTGCTCCAAGTGTGACCTCAATGAAACACTTGTATAGTATAATAGTAAGTAGTGGATGAAAATGAGCACCAAGCATTATGTTAACAAGCTTTTTTATTCAATAGATGTCATGGAATGTGATCCAAAGAGATACTTTGATGAAGGAAAATAAAGAAATGTAAATATATTCTATAAGATTCTTGTTAAAAATGACTTCTATCTTGTTGAAAGATGAGACATAATTTGGTCAAAGGACTCTGATAAAAATAGAAATATCAATAAATTGTGACCAAATCTTATTAGATATTTATTTAACAATCTTATCTTAATGAGAGACGGGATAAGACTTGAGATAAGATTACTTTGATGATAAAAGGGTTTGTTGGGACCAAATCTTATCAAGTTTTTAAAAAATTATTGTTAAGCTTACTATAGTTAATGAAATAATATTTTATTAGAGAAGAGCTTCAAAAAAAATAAAAAATAAAAATTGATGACAAATTCTTCATGATATTCTTATGATTGAAAACTAAACTTTGCTCAAAAGATGTAACAAAATTTAACAATTGTTTGGATAATTGCTAAAAATATTCCCAAAAATTGACAAACAAACAAGGAGTGATGGTGTGGAATGTCTTTTAAAATGTAAATGAAGTTTATTTAGAAAATATCGTGGTGATATTTACATCACAATGAAAAAAAAAAGTTACTTTTGTTTTGAATAAAATTACTTTTTTAAAATTATTACCATTTGGCTTTTTTCTTTTTTCTTTTACAATGTGCACATTTATGTTTTGACATTATCAACACATGATTAGAAGTCAAATTAATAAACATAATATGAAATGAATCTTCCTAAAATAATTTTAACGCAATGTTAAGTTTATATTGAGGTAGCAAATTACACCCAAAAATTTACAAAGTTGTTACAAATTATTATGTTTTAATCTTATTTTGATTTAAAAAAAAAAATGAAAGATAGTATTATAATTTCAACTCAATTACTTAGAACATTATTAGAACATTTGATAATGAAAAATGATTTTTAATGTGGATCTAAAATACTTGTCAAAATGAAAGATGAACAAATTGAAAAAAAGAAAGAAAGATTAACAAGATCATTCAATACCAACCACAATAGGGTTAAGTGATCAAGATGTTAAATGAAATTGTGAAAGAGAGTAATAGCTGTTCAAGAGCATGTCTAACAGATTTGTTAAATTATCAAGAAATAAAATGTTGTCTTAAGGCATACCTTGCAAATTAATTATCTAGAAAGAAAGAAAAAATCTTCTCTTCACAAGCTTATATATATATATATATATATATGCATGTTTATAACAGACTTTCTTATATCTTAATTTAAATTTTTATGTTCTCATATATATATATATATATATATATATATATATATAGGTATTTTTTAATGTTTCTAGTACCATTTCTTAATATCAAGTCATAAAAAGACTTATTCTTATTATTAACATTTACAAAGATTGTGGATGGCAAGTGGTAAATGGTGAGTTGTGGTGATAATAGCAAAAATTGTGGTGACATTAGCAATACCTTAAAACCATATATGTTTTAACTATCTTCAACTTATATTATTTAAAGAATACCTTATTAAATTAGCAATATGAGCATTTTGAAATTATATATGAAAATTTTGGTTTTTAATTGTGTATAATATTAATTTTTAATTAACTATTTTTATCTTTATATATCAGTTGATTATATATATATATATATATATATATAGATTATACCTCTGTATATCTTAATTAAAAATAAAAAAGAGACTTCACAATCATTTGGAAAAAAAACATTTATGTAGTCAAGGTTAGTTTATCAAGACAAATGCCTTTGGTTGCTATGTAAGATTCTCGTTGTAACATAAAAAATTGATACGAATTCTTTTTAAATTTATTGTATATAGATACTGCTGTTCTTATTAAAAGATATGGAGCATCATGCCGAATTAACAATCCAGCTAACCATTTAATGAAAAATTGATTCTACAGTTTAAAACCTGCTTACTACAACAAGTTTGACAGCCGTCATCCATTGTTCTTCTTTTCCTTTGTTTTTCGTGTAATACATCATTTCGTGGTTCCTATGTTTTAAAATTTAAACTAATGGTCGCACTCATTATAAAATCGAAACGGAAAAACATGTAAAACGCTTGTAACATTGCTGAGATTGTTGGACTCATGTGAGCATCTTACAACTTGTACAACTGTTGAAGCTACACTGATCATCAACAGAAGACATTTTATTGAATTCCGATTATGATAAAATAACTAATTGAACACTTGAATCGCTTGCCAGACATCGTCGTCGGAGGAAAAAAGGTTTTGAAGAAACCAATAGCATTCGAGCGATTTTAAGTCTGCAAAACATTTCATAAGCGGATAATGGCCCATGGAATATAGAGCAAAGAAAAGTCTCCCACACTAACATTTTGTTAAGGTTGACAAAATCTTCATGTAAATTCCTGAATTCACAGGATCGTGTACCTTGAACAGGTTACTAAGAAAACCATTCTTTAGGCCCATTCGGCACCAATCCATACTACTCAAAATGCAGCATTGGATCAAAACACTCGGTTCTAAGCATAGAATCTTTGTGAAAAACAAAGGAAAAGAAGAACAATGGATGACGGCTGTCTCTCAAGGCACAGGCCTTTCCTCAGTGCCATTCTAAATTACAAAACATTCGTGATCGTATATCTCTGCAAGCTGATATAAAAAAAGGAAATCCTAAATCGAGACAAATTCATTTCGATGACAGAATTTCCAGCTGTGATAGTCCCTAAATTCCAGCACAAAGGTATGGAATTTGACTAAGGAGGTTCGATGACCCACTGAAACATATGCTTCTAATTTCTTTGACAACAACTCATAAAGACGTGTTTCATTGTTTGCATCAAGAGCACTACTTGCTTCATCCAAAAATGCAACCTTCGGGGAGTGCAAAAACAACCTTGCAAATGCTAACCGTTGCTGTTCCCCAGCGCTGAGAGTGTCAGACCAATCTTTCACTGCTCCTAGTCCTCCAACTCGTGCCGGTAATTCCTGCAGTTTCACCTCTTCCAGTGCCTCGTACAGATCACCGTCGCTATGCATGCTGGATGCATTTGAGTTACTTGATAGTACTGGGAAGAGAAGCTGGTCACGTAGAGTTCCCAACGGCATGTATGGTTTTTGAGGCAAAAAGAATGTTTCAGACCTGAGGGGACTCTGCAAAATACCACTTCCTCGACTCCACAAACCTGCAATTGCTCGAAGCAATGAGGATTTTCCGCATCCAGAGGGACCCATAACAAGAAGTGACTCTCCAGGGGCTAGCTGAAAATTTAGATCTGTAAAAAGAACAGTCTTTAAATTGGGAGTTAAAATTGAGACGTCCTTCAGAACCAGGCCTGGACCGACTTCCCTTGATATGTACCCTGCGCCACAAACAGAGAGCACATTGCGACAGCGATCGCCACCAAAAACTCATCAAAATTATCCCAATGATTAGGGACAATGAAGACGTGTAAAGGCATGCTCTAAGGGTAGACTCTAGTTAACAGCATATCAACTCCCTGCATCTAATAGATCCATCCGAGTAAATGGAAAAATAAAAATAAAAATAGCATAAATTAATGAGGATAGCTTAAAAAAGCAGAAAAGCCTTCTTTTCCACAGTTTCAAATGTGAAGGGACGGACCAGAAGGTACAGCTTCAGGGACGATATTCACAACATTGGTTTCACGTTTCATGGTGTGAGAGGACAGACCAGACGAAATATGTTCTGGTCTCATGTTCAACAAAGGCGTGTCATCGCCATCATTGTCAATGTTCAGACCAATAGCAGATGAAGTCTTCCCCAAATGGCGTTTCATTAAACGCACGTCTCCACTGTGATCGTCAAGAGCTGAAAGAAGGCTTTCCAGTCTTTCGGTCTGAGCTGCGAGTCCACTGAGAACCATTTTTTCGATCAGTACTTTGATGCTAACATTTCCAAACCAACATGGCTAGCACTACTGATTATCTAATTAAGGTTTTACAATATTCTTATTGACCTTCTGTATGGTATATCATAAAAACTCTGGAAGCAACAGGCTATCCAAAAAGTAGGAGGATGGCGTTTTAATTGCAACACGGAGATATAATAAATTGTGACACAATACTGATACATCATACGCAGGGGATAGAAAATTATGCAATGGTAATTCAAAAAGTACCAAGATGAATTCGCAGAACAGACCTAAGACTGTCAAACTTGAACACGATGATAGAAAGAGCGTTCAAAATTCTGTGAAATGCAAAACCGGTTTGCGAAATCACACCAAATTGTACCTGTTATGACATTGCCAACTCATCAGCTGTTTACATACTTCACAGGGAAGCATTGTCGCTCCACAATCTATGACTGACTATCGGCAATGATGTAGGAAATAATTGGTATCTCTACCCACGATTAATTTACAGTTTGTCCTGGTTAAATCTTTCAACACTAGAATGACATTCCAACGTCTACATGCTTGCTCTCAGAAAAGTACACTTAGTAGAGCTGCTACTGGTATATGACGTACCTCCCCAGAGAAATATCGAGGAGCAATTACAATGGATGGAACAATGATCATGGCATATTCGTATACATTGTTGAAGAGAGAAAAGTGCCGGTTCCACAGAATAATTTCTCTAAAATTTGCCACCATAGATGCTAAAAATTTCTGGAAATAGAGCAATGAAAAGAAAATTAATATGCTGATGAAGCAGCACCATTCGATACACTTAAAGTCTCCTAATACCGACCTGAACAGCTTGATAATCTAAAACGCAGTTTGAAAAATCTTATCATATTTTCCCGAGTTAAATATAGTGTATAAGAGTGTGAACAACCTTAATCGTGGCAGCTTCGTGATTTTCACCACCGTAAAAAGCTATGGACTCGACGTTGTCACGCACTCGTACAAGAGAATACCTGAAATCAGCCTCTCTTTGAAGAGCCTGTATATACAAGTTAAATTCATCACCAGTCTAATCAACCCTGCTTATTCAAGCAATTAGAATTTTAAATCCATCATAGACATGTTGCAGTTCATACAAGCAGTACATTGCTGTATCAATAAAGAAATACCTGAAACTTCAGTCTCATCAGTCGACTTCCGAACCCTTTGACAGTAACAACAGTCCCTAATACCGAGTACCCAATCAAGATGTAAACCAACTCTGGAGCTATGGACCTGCAATATCCAGCAAGAAATGAGGCTTGTCAAAAGAGAGAAACTTGTCTATGTCTTGACCTCATGTCGTCATGTTTTCATGATATCCAATGCATAAACAAAAGAATTTTCATGGTAAATTGCTAAAATACTCTGGACTAAAAGAAGTTGGAACGCAATAAGAACCTGTTCAGTAAGTTGTCTGCGTATTGCAGTTAAAAATATTATCAAACGAGATGAACGATAACCACGACAACCAAGGATGATACCAGAAAAGAAGCCCTCATAGATTATAGCAAGGTCTTACCAAAGAACTCCGGTGAAGCCGATGATGTTCAGAAACTGGCTTGAAATCAAGATTATAATATCCAGAGTGTTCCGGACAAAGCTGGATACATCCTCACAGATTCGTTGATCTGGATTGTCAAGCTTTCCATCCATTTTTAAATCAAAATATGCCCTGTTGGCTTGAAGTACAACCATCCCCCAAGATCCAGAAATTAGTTCCACGCAATCTAGTCCTATACACCGACCATGCAGAGCAATGTAAGTCTCCAAGTTTTACGCTATCGCCTAAACCAACAAATTTACACGCAGAATGCATATACTATTTGATAATCTCGGTTCATCATTGACAATAACGTAGAAAGATCTTATCTAAGAAATGGACAATAAACAGATGAATAGCTGAAAATATGACCATCACAATCTTGAATAACACATAAGAATCACAAGGCTTGGAAAAAACTGTTATACAGAAATAACTGGAGAGAAGGTATTCAGTTAGCCACACCCGCCACTCAAGACTAAGCAGATCCTGTCACCAAATACCAGTACAATACCGTGTTAGAGATGCACAAATGGAGTTGATTGAACATCTCAAAAAATCAAGATAGTGAGTTGCATAATATTATTTCCAACAAGATCTGAGTAAAGTATAATCAAACCATGTAAGAAATTGAAAATCAGCAATGAGAGCATGAAGATATAGATCACCTGCATGTAGTGGTAATATGCGTACAACGGAGCTGCGATCACAATAATCCCCACAAATTTCCAAATGGCTCTATAAAATCCGGGAATATCCTTGCCGGAAAGGGCGGATGAAAAGTCCCTCTGTACATATGACATCACTACAAACAAGCCTGTCCAAACCACAGTAATTGTTGTGTTCACACACATGACATCGACAGCAGGCACAATGTGAGGCTATATTCAGACAATAATCGACGATGAGATCGTGCCTTTCAAAAATAAGTCGTTGTAAAATTCTATACGATGAAAACCATGAAGCCCTAAAAGCATTGCAGGAGACGACAGGATATTTTAATGTTGGTCCAAATGCAACTCATTTATGTCTAATCTACGCGTTCAAGACCAGTGATATTCCGTGTAGTCATGAGGAAATAAACCGGCAGCAGTTTGGTTACTGGAAGTCGATTTCTTGTTCAGGGCACCAAGGTCCAATTGATCTAAAACCATTCAAATCCGTAGATATAGGCGTACTGCCATTCTAAACTCTTCGTGTTTGAGCCACACAATTAACGAAAAAAAGGCTGGCAAGATGTTTGAGACAGGATATCCTCATAGACATACACAATGGCCCTCTCAAAACACCCTGAAACTTGGATTTTGTTACGATATAAGCTGCATAACCGATGTCAGTAGGGATTCATTAGTCGTGATTAGGATTGGCGCCTGCTCAAATTCAGCTCACTTTTGTTGATACGTAAACTATCAGATTCCTTAAAGCAAGAATCGATCCCGATTGACCTAGCGTAGATTGAAGCTCATCACATTGTTATCGTGCACGAGGGCAAAAGTAAGGAAAAACTCGGGGAGGAGGGAAACCTGCGCAGACGGCGCACAAAATAAGAACGATGACGAGAAGGAATCTGGCTTTCGACTTGCGGTCACCATAGAAGTACATTCTGCTGATTCTCCATAGCTTCCTCATCAGACTAAATGATGGCTCCAAGTAATGCTGTTGCCTCGTTCCATCTTCCGACGCCATGGTCATCCTCAACTAGGTCACCGAGTGACCCCTTGATAAGCTACGCAATTACCTACAATAGTAGTCTTTCTGCAAACTTGTGCTCCAAGATGTTCTGTAGCCCGATGACATCTACAGTATGACTTCTACAATCAATTCAACTCTACCAGTCAAAGCAACCCACTCTTCTCAAAACTCATCCTGGCTGCAACTTACCCATCTCCCTGAAACCAAACCCCGCTACAAATCAAAATGCCGCCCCTTCTCCTTCCAATCGCCTAGCCCCAAAAAACCTCCCACTCTTCTTCCTCACTCCCCTAGATGTGAGACCAATCACCTACAGTATTTCAAACCAGAGAAGCAATCAAACTAATGGCAGTGACGAAACAAGTTCTGCAACTACTACACCACACCTTGATCACAGTGTGCAACCTCCTCCCTGCCACTGCGATGTGAATCGCAATAGCAAGAACACGTTCAGTCCCACACACCACATCTTACTTAGCACCCGGTGGCCTCGCCCTAGTACAGAGAAAAAAGCTTACAAGACGTGGCCATCGCTGGCGGCACGTTCATAACACTCGTCCTATGTTTTCACGACTGCAAATACTTCCACGCCTTCTACAAAATTCACCTACTCTCCTCTGAATGTTACTATTTCCACCACGTAACGACAAATCGCCCGTGGCACCTGCGAAGTAGCTCCGAAATAGGAACTAAAATGGTTTCTGTGAGGTGAGAGGGAGGGGAAAGCTGCTAGGCAGTTGCACAGCGGCAGAGCAGCATGATGGTTTATGATGTAATGGTTATTTGTTGAGGCTCGAAATGCACGTTCAAGCATTCTACAAAATAGGAAGTCCTAGAATCTAGTGAGCTACCATTCACTTTGAATTGTCTTCTAGAGTTGATCCTGCTGCATGCGACAGGTTATGTTGCGAACAGTCATTGGCTCATAAATATTGGTGAGAAATGCTTCATTAGCGCTCAAGCGTGCATGGTGTGTGCTGCGCCACTACCTAAGCTTCGAAGTATCAGTATTCTTGTATCCTTTGCAATTGCTGGTCGCTGTCTAAAGCAATTAATACGCTAATTCAACTAAAATAAGGATAAGAAGATTACGAGAAAGAGTAGAAGCAGAATCACGGAGATTCCCCAATTGGTACATTCAGATGGTGAACTGTTTGATGGGTCCTGATTAGGAAAATATCTCCTTCGAATTGGAATTGTGATGACTTGTGCGTAACAATATGGTATCCTCGTGACATGATTGCACTCACCCTGCTTTTATTTCTGCAATGCTACATCTCCTTTAGTACACTTTCGAAGGGGTGGCACAAAATCAGATCTTTCCGCCAAAAATTGGCAGCCTCGAGACTCGCTAAAATTCCAACTCTGCTCTAAATTGGTGAAAGGGAAAGCCGAGCAAGGCTACTCCATCTTCTTCTAAACGCAGTAATTTGGCTTCACCGCTTACCTGGTATCAATTTGAGTCTTTGTTTCACCTAAACCTCATGTTTACACATACACTCTAAACACCTCGGATGCCTGTAAACGCTTCGAGAAATGGGGCGAGCAGCAATCCTTTTAGTCTCCGCCACCATTTTACGAATTCTATTCTCAAAATGGCTCCATTCAATGGTGGCGTTGTGCTCGAATATAGCAGCAAGTCGTTTCTTGTTAGGGCGTATTGTGGGGCGATGGCCTGAACCGTGGTAAATTCGGTGGCCAGAAACTAGAGAGGATAGCTGGCTCCCCGAATCAGTCATAGCAAATGCGTCTGCCATTGCACAACCCAAGTAGTCCAGCACTGCCAACTGCGAATTACACAAAATGTTAATCATTACAACGCAAGCTAAGCTCGATCGAAAATCAGCAGGCACGTAAACTACTCAAGAGATTGGCCAAAAGAAGAATTGTAAGACATGGAGTACCTACCTGGGATGAGTGGTTGCGAAGGGGCTCAAGCTCCTCCGGGGTTAGGAGTTCCTCTTTGGTGACTATATTGGGGTACAGATTCTTAAGAATGGTCATCTTCTTTTCCCCACCATACATGTGTGCTCCTGCGAGTAAAATTCGTGTTCCTCTTCTGAAGCCCAGTGCAGCTAACATCAGAAAGCTCTCTTCTGGCATGAGAGGGCAATGACCAAGCTCTCTCTGGACATCAGCTGTCCCCAACCTGGAGGGACCATGATTTCGTCAATACTCACTCTCAAGCATTGTTCCTAGAGGAGAAGTAAAATCGTGTAGCTTCTTAGCTTCCTAAGTAGATCTAGGTACAGAATCTGGTTGGAAACAGAACCCTTACCTCCCATCCTGTTCAAGCTTCGCAAGGATTGGGAAATGCAGAGCACGATAAGCTTGAAGCTCCTTCTTTTCTGTCTCACCTCCTCCAAATTCACACAAGGAATAGGCTACCATGTCCATCTCAAAGCGCATGTGCACAGCCAGATACTTGGGAACAGGCTTCGCCGATCGTATGGGAATTCTTTCGGTTCCTGAGGCACATGCACTTGACGTCTTAGAGTGTTTCAGCTTGGACACCAGAACTGATGAGGAAGATATTCGATTCTAGGGAAATACTTTTAGATACATCTCTTAAATTTTGCAAGCCCAACAATTGCAGGCCTCTGAATCTGTGATCGCATATAATAAGAAAACGACAGGCAACTGAGTTTTGAGGCTTAACAATTCACTTAAATTCGCGAAAAGACATTAAACGAGGATAATCAGTCCGATCAATTCGCCTTGGAGTTACCTGATAGATGCGGGTTTTCTTCAGCATCAAAGTCATCATCATTGGGACCCCAGCGAGGATGTTTGTCTCGCATTCTCTCCACAATCAAACCTCCCAGTTCTAGTAACTTCGGCACAAACTTAAGCGCATGGAAGTTGCAGCGGCATCTCAATCTCTGCAAAATCAATGTATTTATCAATTTGAGGCAGTTGAGCAAACTGGGAGAATACTTATTTTGAACTAAAGAAGGTAAACAATGAGGCTTTGCAAAAGAGTACCTGAATATCAAAGGGCACGGGGTCAAAGGCCAAACGATTACCAAAACCTTCAAAAAGTACCACCTGCTTCTCCATCAACAAAGGAAGAATGTGCTTGAGGTAAAAGCTGGGCTTCGCTTCCTTCGGGACATCGATTTCTGTCACCTATATTATCCACGTCAGTAATGGTGAAACAGCCAAAGCTTAAAACCCTACAAGCCACTTCAACATCATGGAAATGGTATATTGATATAAGATGAGGATTAGGAGGCGAAAGCGTTGGGAAACACTGAAACACTTGTAGGAAAGGCGACTAGTAGGCCCGAGAATCTGAACTAAACCAGCTGATTTCAGATGTCAGACAAAATGGGTCAACAAGACTTGTTTTTAGGTGTTATTTTGCTTCATCAGGATTCTCAAAAAGACAATGTTGTCCAACTATGATCCGATTCAAGCCATACAGAACAGAGAAGAGACCGAAAAACACAAAGTTAAATTAACAGGAAGGAATTACAGTATTGAAATTCCTGCAAAGCTCACCACGGCTTCAATTGCCTCAAGATCCAAGGATTGCAGCTCAAGAGGCAGCTCTTTAACTATTCGCACATCCTCTTTTAAGTGGTTCATAAAGTAAGCTTCGTCGTATATATCCCCGAACTGACTGCACCACATCTCAAAAAGACTCGGCGTTACAAGTGAAAGATGTCAAAACTAAAATTGCGAGTAACGCCACAACTTGCACAACAAAAACTTCATGTTCATCCGGAGATCCTTGTTTTTGCTTTTGCATCAACTATGAAATATCCTCATCTCTCGCACCACCCAATAACCCACACCATGATGAATGTTCAGAATAGAACCTTGAGTCTCTCCATACACTGTTGAATAAAAATCTAGGTAAAACCAAAGAGGCATTCAACAAACGTGTCACCGCCACACCATTACAGATCTGCAAAACCGACGCCGTAGACATTATCAATACATGCGTTCGAAGATCCGAAGGGAAAGGTATTGCAAGGCAATTGTTTTCGAAAACTTTTAAGTTTGCATCAGGTATCACGACTTATAAAAGCAATGAATCAATAATCAAATAAGCCTACCGCAACACGCTGCTGGTTGAGGCCGCCATTAGCATTGATCATGATATAGCCGGTCATATGCTCGAGTGGCGGAGGAGCTACAATCACAAAACGAAGCATGAAATGAATAATACTGCTATGATGAATCCTGTTCACGCACAGAATGGCACACTCTGGTGCTGCGCATTTGGACCTTGTAGAAGGTACTTGGTGGATCATGAAGTGAAAGAGAAGATATTACCACAATTTATCTGATCTCTGATTTCCAGATAGACTAGTTTCATCACCATTGCCCAAGATGAGAACGTTTGGTCGGCTTAAACATCTACCGATTGTATGATTGGCTAAAATATCGTCAGATAAATGTCAATCACCTCCTGTAGTTCAAAAGTTTAAATTACATCCGATTTACAAGCAACAAGATTTTACAAGAATGAAAGGAAGGAAGGAAGGAAAGCAGGAACTGACGAATGTGATCCTCAGCTCTTTGATTTGCACAAGGAAGCCATGTAATGGCATTCTGAGTTGGCTCCTCCCACAAAACATCCGGCTCGGGCTTGAACTCATTCTGTAACCAAATACAACTATGATGAGCAACAAGCTAAAGACGTTACCAATAATCCCCACTAATTTCAATAAGACTCCGCACAGCATCAACGACGGGAATGCCAAAGGAATTGGTTGTTTATTTACATCTACATACACCATACAAATACAACCAATAAATCTTAACACTCCTCATTCAGGTGCTATGATTTCATATAAGATATCGGAAGGTTGGATAGCAATGCTAAACCTATAAGAACTCTTAAATGTAATGTCAGATAAGCCCAGGGTAGAAACATCATCACCTCAGCAAGTTCATGTGCTGCCAATGCAAGCATGCGTTCATATAAGACTGCGGAGGATCGATTGACAACACCGACTTGGCGTACCTGCAATCACGTAGAATAGAAAATCTTTGAGGCCAACAAACACAACCATCCAAGTTCCATTGAAATGAATTACACGTCCTTCACATAGTGATCTACACAGGAGAACAATTCATGACCTCAAACATTGTTTGGTGGATCCAATGCATACCACAAAAGGACATTTAAGCGTTGCAATTGACAAAGTAGTATGCTTGTTGCAGTAGGTAAATATATATGTTTCTGGTAGTGCACATGAGCTGTTCCAAATGAGGATTGTCAAACTCACAGAATCTGCTTGTGGAGTCTCCAAGTTCTCGAGCGATTGCAAAGCGGACTGTTGAAAGCTGGATAAGTACCACCAGTTAAGTGCAAACCACAAAAACAAAGTCACAAAGAACACGGTGCCACCTCTCTTCAGTATGCGTCCTCGCCCTTTCATTGAAAAGGTATTACCTCCAGTAAACTGTTGGAATGCCGACTGACTGGATAATGATATAAATCTTGGACTTCCTCTTCCAGATTCCGGAAGCGACGTTTCAGGAGGTAAAGCCCGAGGAGATCGAGGAACTGGAGAATGGGGCCTGGAGAGGAGATCGCTTCTTGGACTAGGAGGTGGACCAGCCTGAGTCCTAAATGCTGCATTCTGTCGGCTGCGTGTAGTTGGGGAAGAGAGTCCTGATTGTTGTGAGTTCGACCACAACTTATCCGCACTCATAGAATTTGAGCGTTGTAGAAGAGTGGGTGTCGTTCGACCTGAGCTAGAAAATCCACCTTGAACAACAGAATCTGTCCTTCGCAGTGCTGAAAGTCTGCTTTCACGAACTGGTGAGACCTGTTTCTCTCCATCTCCAGCTCTGCCATGCGAACCGGGATCCCCAAATGCTTCGTCCATTAGAGGAATTGGTTGCACCTCTCACACATATATTAAGAAATACACATACTCTTGCACACAGGATTCACCTGATAAACTTGTTTGAACACGTGCTCCCGCTTACTTTCAGCTCTTGTCGAGTCAAACTCAGAATAAACTAGCAAGCGTAATCGATTTGGTTGATCATTAAACTAAAAGAGAACCGATTGCTGAGGATGGATCCTACAGGACTGAATCATCTTCTAAAACAATCACTTAAGTAGTGTGAAGCCAATATCGCCAACCTCTTCTAAATCCCATCGAATCTCTCCGCTTCAAAATCCAACCGCAAGATACTTTGATCCATAAAATAAGCTACGCCTCCTAAACAAAGCCACAAAGTAGAAATGATCGGCATTTTGAGGCAGTAAACACGAGTATCAGAAATCAATATGTACGAAAAAAAATTGATGTCATGAAATGCCCATAGATTCTCAAACACTACTTAATAACCTAGCAATGGTGAACATCCCCACAACAATGTATATACTCTGACATGCAATACAGCTTCTAAACCTGTTTTTAATGTTTAAATCAGTACTACAGGTTTCCATCTTCGTCAGCTATTCTAAAAACATATCATCCATGGTCATCGGATGGAAAAACCCTAAACTGTTATCCAAAGCATCGAGACACAGAACACTGCAACTTTGTGTAACATTGTATTCCTACTCGAGTCTGATGGTGCTCGACTCTTTTCCTTTCAAGTATAAAATTTGATGGTCGTTTACTTGAAATGTTTCCTGCCAGCATTTTCTCTACAGAAACATTTAATCGTTAACTCAGGCAACCATTGTGAATCTAATTCGGACGTTTCAGGGGCGATTTCTCTGCAAAGTAGGAATATTGTCTAGTATATTACGCAAGAGCTTTAACCAAGTGGAACAAAGCTACTGTTGAAGTCTTCCTGGGCATATTTTCCAGCTACATCGATGTGACTCCACATGTTCTCCGTTCTGAGCCAAATATCTGACACGATGGAATCGACTACCTACATTTAATGAAACTCACTAGAACGACTTAATTTGCTCATGTTCCCGGTTGTTAGCCATTCCAGTCAAAGTCAATGAAAACACTGTTTTGCAAGCAAAAGAAGTGTTGTAAACTACCCGACCTATAATTGCAAGATTGTACCTTGTAAGAGCTGAAGAGAGCTGTCCTAAAATGAAATCATAACCCTTAAAATTGAATTTAGCACAATCTGCACACCATGACAGAGTGTTCACTCGGGTCGCTGTCTGCAGAGGCGGAAATGAGCTGGCGAAAAGTGGAAACTCCATATCATGTAGATTCATTAAAAAAATCGATGGATCACGGAAGCTAGAGGAACACAATGCGCCGCACTGAGGTAGAAACTACACCTTCAAGCTCAGAGTGAGTCGTCCCACATGTGGGGTGAAAGATCGTATGCCCAATTTCGACAAAGCAATTTCTGAGTGGCTTGATACAGCAATTCATTTCTTCCTTGACAGTGACTGTATAAAATTTCCAAAATCTAAAGTCCACAAGCACCTCAATGAATATGTGCCACGGCAAGAAGCTTCATTGTAACAGAGCGAAGAAAACCATTGTCAAGTACTGGATGAAGACACCGCAAACCGAAAGAAGTAAACAAAAACGGAGGATGGGCAATTTCAGACAGTGGTTTGGGAGGCGGGGCTAGGAGCAGGGTTTCAAGCCCCCGCGCTGTGAATTCTCATGAGATCCTGGGACACCACTGTATATTTCACCGCAAACCCATAAAATAAACAACCGGGACGATTCGAGAAACTGGCAATCAAGAACAGCTACCGAAAGTGGGTCCGTCTTTACCGTGCATCTCCACAGAATCTTCCCCAACGTAGTCCATCACTAACTAAAATCCAGCAAAAAGATACGCAAACTCACGCAGTGGGTCCGAGTAAGAAGTGAGATACAGAACAGAAATATTGAGGTGCGTACCAATAACGACCGACAACGCACTAGCACTACGATTCTCCGGGACGCAAAAATTCCCCTTCGTGAAATACTCCAGAATTATCGCAACAGCGGAAAATTTCCACTACCCACGAAGAGATCTGCACCAAAAAGATTCAGCTCGATCAGAAATATATGTATTAAAAAAACTAAAATATGAAGTCCCCAGATCCGCTTCCACTCCCAGTCCTGTGTGACACATCACCAGCCCAAGTGCAAGAATAGCACTGAAGTTCGAAAAAAGACTGGGAAGGCACTGCACCGCGTCCGCACAATGTCAAGTAAAGATTGCCGAACATCTCGTCAGAGAGACAATTCATTCCTTCTGCCCCCGCCAATATTCAGAAAGATGCTATGCCCATGTGTAGAGCGAAGTATCGTCATTTACGAGCAATTCCGAAGAGAAGGGGATGAGGTCCCCTCGCGTCCTTGGCCGCGTCCCTGTCTGGATTGACACTTTCGCTGTGATCCGTGGTCAATCCCGTTTTTCTCAGGTTTACATTACCACAACTTGCACAGGAAGTCTACTGCAAAGAAAATTAACAAATGTACGATCTGCTGATGGTACTTATGGCTGCGGAGGACTGCTGCAGAGCTGGTGTGTGGGAAGGTGAAGGATCGTTCGTGGGCTGGCTGCCTTGCTGCCATGCCATGGAAGAAGCGTTAGTTGGATTTGAGCAGCAAGAAAATGATGGCAAGCACGAAACTCTGGATTCTGCAACCTTTCTTCCGAGCTCCCACGTCTCTCTCTCTCTCTCTCTCTCTCTCAGGTTAACCCAGTTTTCATGGGAATTCTGTCAGAGTCGCTTTCATTCCCTGCCACCGATTCCGACTCTTTCTTGCGAAACAAGGACATGTTTGTTCTATTTCTTCACGGATTTTATATTGCATCGTCATCTCAAAATTCAATCTACCAGTTCTAACAAAATCGTTTGAAATTTAAACAATATTGTTATAGAAACTGAAACGGCAGCTTCAAAAAAACATAAGCTGGTCTCTAGGTCTATTCCAATACAGATCCATTCCAAAAGACTGTGCATCATGGACAAAAACAAATTCTGTAAAAAAAAAAAAAATCTCACATGCCCTACACAAAACCATATTTTTTTAACTTACTGTTCAAATTGGAGATCCTCAATGTCTGAGCCCATTTTTACATTGTTCCATTGAAACTTATTCTTTTAACCCGTGGAAGGGCCTGCTGTATGAATGTCGTCGTGGCTTTTTTGATCCCAGGTTACGTTCATTGCTCCAAATCTCTAGTGTGAACAATGCAGGAAGGACCTCACGATGCGCTTCGGCTTTTAATGGACCTCACAGAACTTGGCGATGATGAGAGTTGACTCTCGGTTTGGAAGAAGAAGCCGAGCCCAATCGAGTCCACCGGTGGGTTTTTATCCTTTCTGCTACTAATAGCCATTGCAGGAAGATGAGACTGCTTTGGTAAATGCCAGCTCTGTTCCGACTCCACCCTGAACCTGGCCTTCGAGTTTAGAGTTTGTCAGATTGGCGAGAAGCGGAAGAATATGTTGGAATGAGTTATTCAATTAAGCGGTGGAAGATGAAGCGGGATTTTTTTTGTTTCAAGCTCCTACGAAGAAGTACACGAAGGTACAGTATGTATTACTCCAAGAACAAGTGGAGCTTTGTGAGTAAAGCCATGTTTTGAAAGAACAATATAATAATCAACCTCGTGAGCATTGAATTCTGTTCGGGTCTTTGCCGTTTCTTAGCTTAGGGCAACTCTGCAACGTGCGTTAAGGAGACTCAGTGCCTACCAGCGATACAAACGTGTTCACGTAACATTAGATGGGGTCTCCGTGTTAGTTCATTTGGCTAATTGCAGATGCTTTTGGACTCCTATCATGCCTGTCATCCAACATGATGGGTTGAGCATCTTCTGTCGTTAGGGTTTGCTGTAAATTCGCTGTTTCATTGTTTGTCAGCATGGCGACGAATGCGTTTACAATCCCTATCGACCTCGCATGTGTTGGCTTTTGAGGCGAGCTGGGCAGACTTTAGTAACAAGCATGTCGTGAATTTTCTGTGGAGGTTTTTCCTTACGAAGAGCATTAGTTTGGGAATTAGTGAAACCTTTGTGGGACTCTCGACACCGGATTGACTAGTTCATGCAATCTGTGGTGAGATGGTATCAATTGACTCGTCAATTACACCACAGACAATGCGAAACAGTAAGTGACGATCCTAATTAAATGCGTCGGAATGTTTAACTTCTCGTTCTTTCAAACCTCTCCAAGAACAAATTCGTGAAGAGTGAAAGTGAACTAATGACCTTCAAATTGCGGTAGGTAGCCATCCGTAATGATGCGGTTGTCTTACAAAGTAATGTAATCATTTTCCTCAATACACCATCCATGGCCAGTTCCACTTCCTGACTCGCTCCAGATCGAGGCTCACTGGAAATCTGGAAGAAACTGACAGTTCCTCCACAGATTACATTCCCCGATTTTGGACCCCACATTTCCAGCATGGAGAATGATAAAGAATGAGCACCCTCATTGCTGTCGCTGAAGCAGCTGGACGAAACGCTGAAAGGATGCCATTGGCAGCGTGAGAGACCAAAGAGGTTGAGAAACACAAAACTCAATCCGAGGTGTCGGAATCCTGCGAATTTAATCCCCACACATATCTTTCATTATGTTAACGCGAAGAACAGGATAAACTCTATCCCAGCCATTAACTTACGTTTTGTGTAGACCTGTAAGGACCAATTATGAGCATAATTCATGGCCATTAAAATCAACTGACAAAAAGACCAACAAACCGCAAAACAAGAGAAGAGTGTCGGAAGTAGAAAACACACAAGTACAGCAATACACAATATCACCACTGAAAGCGGCCACCTTAACAAATGAGGAATAAAAGGATACTTAAACTTGCCTGAAGTAAGAGACATCCGATGACAAAAAAATGGGAACATAAGATGGGGAGCTAGAGCCCACTAATCCCACCTGCAACACAACTTGTTCTCCAGCGGAACGTGACACTTGTGCTCGTTGTGTCTTCGCATAATGAATTCTATAAAGTTGAGGATAGTGGAGCTTGTTCATTTGATTAGAATCGGCTCTCTTAGTTTTTGCAATAGTGCAAGTTATAGGAAAGTTTGGTGATAGAAAAGACTTATCTTCTTTGATGTCTGCTGTAAGAGATTGGTGAGATACAAGGCGCTTGTTCTTCCGAGACCCTACTTGACCATCGGCTTGGGTGGTCTTGACAGACATCTATTCATCAATTAAACCCTAATTCTTGAAATCTGATTAAGTGGGTTGAGAGCTGCAGATGAATTCCACATCGGCGAATTAACATTCTCAAGTCTTAGTCTTCGGGTTCTTCAATAAAAATGAATGCGGGTTGCAACGGTATTGATTAGTATTCTATTGGCAAGTCTTTACTTTGGGAAGATTTTGGTGGTTTGTCCAAACCACCAAATTTAGCTTTTTTTAAAATCAAAATATAATTTTATTTTTATATTTTGATTCAAAAATAATCTAATTTTGGAAATTATAAAATGAGAGAAATTACTCTATATTCAAATAGTGGGAAGCTTTTCCAATGCTTCAAATTGTTTTGCATGCATAATGTCTTTTTAGAAAGAAATTTGTGAAATGAGTTTAAACTATATTTTTTTTATTCTCAAAAATGTAGAAATTTCTTTTGACTATGTGGTGTTTAAAAAGGCACAAGTCAATTCACCAGACAATTGCATCAAAAGAAGAAACCGATTGCAAGCTATTCTCAAGCTTCTTCAAAATTTAAAGTTACAATGTTTGAAAACTATCAATAACTATGCAAAGTAGTGATTTGTTGTAGTAAGCAAAAAAAAAATCCACAAATTGTTAGTTGAGTAATTTAAGATTGGCATTCGTGAAGATATCTTGAAGTTGATATGAGTATGACTTGAAGTTTTTAATAAATTGGTGCATATTGAACTTGACAAGTTGTACTAAGATAATAGCAGTTAGTTTGTTTCTAAGTATATTTGATGAATCTTACTCTGTAACAATTTTTATTATGTCTTACATTAAATAAGTAAATATCAATGTAGAATTTTTCAACAACAGTATTTTGTTATATAAAAATTAGCATATAAATTTACTTGATATTTGATTGTAGAATGATTTGATCTTATCTTGAAGTTTGATTTACAAGCCAAAAATAATAATACATAAGTTGTTTATAAACATCTTAGCAATCTTCAACACTAAATAATCTTATTACAATATATTCAACTTGAAATAAACCTTAAAAAATCCTACAATAAAATTAGAATTAAATCTTAAAGAAATCACAAAGAAATTCTAGACATATTCTAATTAAATCCTAATCAAATCTTAATAGAATCTTAATCCAATCTTAATTGAATTCTAATAGGATTCTAATATAAAGATAAAATCCTAACCAAATCTAAAGAAAATTCTAACAAATCATAGTTGAATCCTAAGTAAACACCATAACAAATTTCAAACCTTAATAAGTATTAAATTAATTCTAGAGATTGATTTTAACTTTTTATACAATTCAAATTACTAATTGACTACAAATATACAAAGTTTAAAGAAGCTCAAACTTATAGATTGAGAGGAATTACTCCTAATCTGCTTGGATGTTGGCCATTCTTATACTTCAACCTCATTGCAAAACTTTCAGCTTCAATATGTCAAACTTGAATTTCTAACTTGATCTTGAAAATCTAATTTTTATGATCCTAACTTACTTGAATCTTAATTATATTTGATATAACCATCCAATTGAGTTCAAGTTCATAACACACATCTAATACAACTACTTTCACAAACCTATAAAATTTCACCTGTAGATCTATTATAGAATTTATAATTTGCCAAAATAAAATCTCTTTTTTATTTAATACAAATCAAAGTCATCCAAAATAATTGACTTGTTTAGTCTAATTCAAAATACCTAAATTTTTAAAATAATCCATAATAGAATCTACAATAAAATGATTGAAGAAAAAAATTGGATATAATTTGAAGCAATCATGTTATTGACACCTTTTTAAATAATTGAGACCACGATTCTCCAATGTAGTTTAAATCAAAGAAGCTCCTATTTAAAATATAGCACCATAGAAGATATCCTTGAGATATAATGAAAAGAAACAAAATGTATTCATGGTAACTTTATAATCAAAGATTTTACTTTTGTTTTCGACATGCCATTGGAAGATACTAAAATCATGTTTATATGTTACATTTTTAACATCATTGAGGTGGAATAGAACTTCTCTAACAAAGACTTTAAGAATAGATTTATTTAAAAGAAATACAACAAACTTATTCTTATTAAAGTAAGAATTTAAGATATAGATAAAAGGAGTGTCAAGGACACAAATTAGAAGAAGATGCATAAAGTCATGGAATCTGTGTCAAAAAGAAAGTGACAAAATAGAAGAAAGTATGTATATTCAAGGAAGAACTGGAAATGGCTATTGTCAAAGACTAGAAAACATAAGACTCTTGAAACTAGACTAAAAACCAAAAAAATAAGTATGAAGAAGGCTTCACTCTTGCATCTATATATACTACTTAACTAAGGAATACATGGCGACATGCTATAGGACTTTTAATATATGTCCAACTTGCAGGACACGTCTAATTTGCAAAGGAAGTTTCCTAGGTGTACACCATATGTCCAACTTGTACTATAAGTGGTCAACATGTCGACACATGGCCTCTTTGTTGGCCAAGTTTTCAACCTACCAATCACCTATAAACATGTATAAAGACAAAGTAGTGTCTATGAAGCATCTAAGAAGCTTTCTACAAGATTTTATCATATTTATCTATTTTGAGTTACTTCTACCTATTCTTATTATCTAAATAATTATCAAGACAAAAATATGTATGTCCGTGACATTACTCCTCTTTTTAGGGACGAATTCCACAAAGAGCGGTGATTACATGTAGATGAAGTCCAAGATGCACCGAATTGTATTTACTACATACTCCTACCTTTGTTCCCTTTAAAAGTAGTTGATAGATCCCTTCAACCATCGATAATATTTAATACCAAGGCAAGAAGACCACCTTGATATTTGATCATTATTGAGGCCTTCATAACTTCCTTCAAATAAAACATTAGTAATATCATAAAGACTGGTTCTCATTTCCAAAAGTATCACTAAACAACGGGAGTCCCTTCTAAGGTTGTAGTACCAAATGTGTTGTATCTTGCCATCTATTTGAAGAAGAAAATGTCATTCTTGAAGATCTTCATCTCGATTTTGTCCTCTTGAAGGTTATGATAGTCGCAATGTCTCATCTCGTAGCTCAACAAATGATAGGTCTTAAATTGAATTTGTTAGTTGTTGATTCTCTATCTTCTAAGCACTAAAAAATCCAAAGAAAGAATGATACAAGATAGAATGAATTCTCTATTGGACTTGCTTTGCTTTATAGCAAAGAATTTATTGACTCTTTATCTTGGTTTTGATCGATGTCATTGATGAAAAGCTTTAACTTTAGTTGATGTATTTACTAGATTCTTGGATGGCTACCATATGTGTTTATTAATGTCATATCTATGCCAATGTACTAGATATTCTATAGTATTTCGGTGTCGCCTTGAATCTTAGACTTCTTCTACTTCAAATTCTTTATTATTATCCACTTCTATAGGAGGTGGTGGCATTTGTCTCTTTCCTTGTATATCCATTGTCTTGTATGGCTCAAGTAAAGACATATGAAATACAAGTTGGATTTTCATAGACTCCAATAGGTGTAATCAATAAGCAACTGGATTGATCTGTTCACAAATAAGAAATAGTCCAAGCCTATAATAATCCAGCTTGTTACAAGGACGAGTAGTTTTAATATTACGATGAAGTAACCATACCTTATCCTCCACGTGGAATTAAGGTTGTTCCTTGCGATAAACATCCATGTTGGCTTTTTGTCATTCTTGAACATCTTTTAATTGTACCTTCATTATTGCATTAGCTTTGATAATCGATTTGCTATATCTTCCGCCACATGATTATCAACTTTTGGAAAGTCAAAAGTATCAAATCATACATGACAACCATAATTGACAAAAAAAAGGTGTTTGTTGAGTAGAAGAATGTACAAAATCATTGTAAGCAAACTCTACCAATGGCAAAAGATTTGTCCAATCATCTTGTTGATAGTTGATGGTATATCTCAAATATTACTCTAAAACTTGATTTACCCATTCTGTTTGTCCATGATTTTGAGGGTGAAAAGCTAAAGATAGTTTTATAACCACCTTCAATATCTTGAAAAGAATTCTCTAAAATCTCGATAAAAATTATATTTCTTTGTCTAATATAATATCCTTTGGTAATCCATGACAGCGATAGATCTTGACAAAGAAGAGTTTAGCTATTCCTTCACCTGTAATAGTTTTTGTACATAGTACAAAATGTACCATCTTGGTGAAACGATCTACAATCACAAATATAAAATCATATGAATTTGAAATTAGAAGATCTATGATAAAATCCATAGAGACAGAAGTTCATAGTTGTTTTGATATAAGTAATGGTTGGAAGAGTCCATAAGGTTGATGACGAGGAGTTTTTGATCTTGAACAAACATTATATGTCTGTATAAATTCTTTAATAGCCTTTTACATTTGAGGCCTCAAAAAATCTCTAGATATAAGCTCCAAAGTCTTATTATATCCAAAATATCCTACTGCAGGGAAATTGTAACGAGCTTCAAGAGCATGTAATCATGCTTCTCCTTTTGGAATATATAAACGTCCTTCAAAATAGAATAGATTCTCTTTAAACTCAAATTTGGAAGTATTTTGAGATTTAGAGGAGTTATTTTTAATATCATAAAAAAAAAAGGTCTCAGGACACACTTGCTTAGATCTGCTTGAGAAAAGTCAAATCAATAATCAATGTTGATTTCATTGCTCAAAGATGAAATTATTTTGGCTTTAGTAAAATTATCTTTTGTTGGTCAAAAGCTGCTTCTCCTTCTTTTGGTATAAAGCAGAACATTTAGAAAGGGCATCAGACAAACCTTCTTGTTTTATTGGCCAATAAGTGATATTAAATTTGAATCTTAATAAAGACATACTCCAATGAACTTGGCAATGATTCAAAACACGTGCTGATATGAAATACTAGAAATTCTTGTCATCTATATATACAATGATAGGACTTGAAGTGCCTTCTAAATAATGATGCTATTCTTGAAAAAAAATCCATGATTGCAAGAAATTCCTTATTGTGGATCTTATAATTAATCTTGACTGCTGAAAATTTTCTTGAATGAAAAGCTATTGGATGAAGTTTGACATCTGCTCCTATTTATGATAAGACTACACCCTAGGCAAAGTTAGATGCATCTGTTTCTATAAAAAATGCTTTGAAAAAGTCGATGCAATGCAAGATTGGTGCATAAATAAAAGCTTTCTTCAAAACTTCAAATGATACTTCTACTTTTGTATTCCAGTCGATCTTATCTTTACAAGTTAAGCATGTAAATGGTGCTGCAACTTGAGAAAAGTTCTTAATAAAGATTTGATAGTAATTAGCAAATCCTAAAAAATATTGTACATCTCTTATTGTTTTTGGAATCTTCCATTCTATAGTTGTTTGAATTTTTTAAAGATCCATCATTAGACCATTGTTTAAAATGATGTATCCTAAGAAGTCAACTGGATAATGTAGAATACACACTTTTTGATCTTGGCATATAATCCCGCATCTCTGAGTTTTTATAATACACGACGAACATGAACTTTATATTCTTTTGCATCGTTTGAGTAGATTAAAATATCATTTAAGTAACATCAACAAAATCATCTAGAAATTCATGAAAAACATCACTCATAAGATATTAGAAAGCAGTTGGTGCATTCGTGAGTCCAAAAGACATGATGTTATATTCAAAGTGTCCATACCTTGTTCAAAATGCAGTCTTCCATTCATCTCATTCTTTAATGCAAATCAGATTGTACGCTCCTCATAGATCTATTTTTGTATAGATCTTAGCTTGATTTAATTGATCAAGAAGTTTAGACATCAAAGGCAAAGGATATTTATTCTTGATGGTAATCTTGTTGAGTCCTCAATAATCCATGCACATTCACAATGATGCATCTTTTTTCTTCACAAATAAGATAAGAGCTCCTGCAGGAGATTTTGAATAGCATATGAAATTCTTGGCCAAATTCTCATCAATGTACTTCTTGAGTTTAGACAACTCATTTTGTGATAAACTATGGATTGGACCAAATGGTGGCTAAGTTCCTTCTTTAAGATTGATTGAGCAATCATATGGATGATGCTCCGAGAAAATATTTACATTCTTCTTTTTAGAAATATCTTAAAAATCTTCATATTGATTTAGAATTTCACTTGAAATCCCTCCAACATTTAAAATGGATGTGGTATAAATAACAAAAGACAATATTTCTTCTGCAGCATGTAAAAAAGCTTTTGTACCTACAAGTACAAGTTTGATTATATTAGACTCATGGCTTTCTACTGGATTAGAAAAACTCTTAATAATGTTTGAAGAAAAGTCAAGTTTATGAGAAATCCAATCTATCACAAGATTTTACTTTTTTAGCCATAATAAACCTTAAATGATTAGATTAGAGAGAGATCTAATTATATTAAAAAATACACGACTATTATGACCATTTATTATTACATCTATAAGAAGTGTTTCATGAGTAACATCTCTAAAAGATAACAGACAACCGTCAACGACTTCTACGTGTACGGATTTAGTTTTTCGTGTTAATTATATATTATGACTTTTAACAAATTCTTTATCTAAAAAACAAGCAGAGGCTCCTAAATCTATTAAGGCAGAGGCTTTATAGTTATTAGTTCCTAAATGCACATCTATTATAAAACAAGGAGAAGGTTCTGAGGAGAGAATAAGACCTTAATTAGGAATTATACAAGATTCTAGCCGCACTGTCCCTATTGTAGCTAGACAAATTCATTTTCTGATGTGTTTTCATCTTTGAAAGTAGTACTCCTCATATTGTATTTGCATTGTTTTTTTTGACAATATTGATCAGTGTGCTTAGCTTCTCCACAATATAATCATAGTCTTTTTTGATGACGATGAATCTTTTCTTGTTTGATAAGAGGTTTAAAACATATTGCATCAATTTACATGTCTTCTACTTCCAAATGTTTAGATTGAGAAGTCGTTGGTGTCATTACTGAATTGTAATAACGTTGAGGTTCTTCTATACATAGATCAAAATTTTGTTAAGAATGCTTCCAAATTATCCAATATTGGATCACGTCATTCAAGGAATGATGAAAACCATGATGAAGCAGAATATAAAAGTAGTGTTCCAATAAACCTGACTTATAATCCTTGAGTTGGATAACTTTGAGGTTGTAGTTTAATCACTAGTTGTATCTGGTTGATGAATCCTCGAAACTTAGATCTTATGCCATCAAACTTCTCAGGCAATTCAATTTTTGGTTCCTTGAAACTTGAACAATGCTTCGTTGTAGGAGCAGTAGTATGGCTTGGTGTAGATGTTGATGCAACTTCAATCATCTCTATATCTTTATTACCTGATAATCTTGTTGCTCCTTGTGGTGGTAGAATGAGTTGATGCATTGCAAGCATTAATTCTCTTATTTGCTCTTGCATTTGAGCCATTGTACTCTTCATTTCAGCAAGCTCTACCATGCTAGCACAATAAGAAGAAAGGTATGTATTCTCACAAAATACAATACTCAAGAATCAAAAAAAAAAATTCTAAAAACAATATTAGTTTAGAAGAGGGTAATCCGCAACTTCTAATATGCTTATGTCTTCTCAAGAAAAAGAGATAATCCACTCTTAATCAAAAAAAGACAAAGATTTAATATTGTATGTGCACTCTTGTCAATCTATCAAAGACACAAACTAGAAGAAGTTACATAAAGTCATGGACTCTTTGTCAAAAGGAAAGTGACAACATAGAAGAAAGTATGTATATTCAATGAAGAATTGGAATGACTATTGTCAAAGAGTAGAAAACATAAGTCTCTTGAAACTAGACTAAAAACCAAGAAAAGAGTTGACAAGAGTGAAGAAGGCCTCACTCTTGCCTCTATATATACTACTTAATGAAAGAATACATCGCAACATGCTATAGGACCTCAATTACGTGTCCAACTTGTAGGACATATGTCTAATTTGCAAGGCAAGTTTCTTAGGTGTGCACCATATGTCCAACTTGTACTACAAGTGGTCAACATGTCAACACGTGGCTTCTTTGTTGGTCAAGTTTTCAACCTACCAATCACCTATAGACATGTATAAAGACAAAGCAATGTCTATGAAGCTTTTATGAAGCTTTCTACAAAATATTAACATATTTATCTACTTTGACTTACTTCTATCTATTCTTATTATCTAGATAATTATCAAAATAAATATTTATGTTCGTGACATAGTTTCAACTATCTTAAAGAAGGATTTCTTATCTTTGTTGAATGTCAATTGTTTATACTTTGTCCATTTCTTTGGATGATGCCTTAATAAATAAAATCTATAATGATCAATTTTAAAAGAGTCAAAATATTTGATTTGGGATGTTATGTTGACAATAAGAAGATTGCAGGTGAGGTTGGGTTGTCGACCTTGGAAACCCTCCATCATCTTTGTTGTGAATCTATCTCAACTTCTGATAAGGTTCATTTCTTGTTTTTCCATCAAGTATTCTCTCATTGAATATGCACACTCTTCCAACAACATTCTCACGTCACATGCATTTCTAGCTTCACAACGGCTGAGCTTGTCAAATGCAAAGACACACTTCCACACTGACAAGACACGAGTTGCATTAGCAAATGAGAGAATTGTTTCTCGCCGTTGCAATATCTGCTCATGCTTTAGTGACGGTTGTGAAAGGTTCGTAGTTTAAAGCAGTGAAATTGAGCTTCTGTATGCTTGCACAGCACTGGTGGTTGTGCAGTGACAGCGTTTTTCGACCTGCTTAAAACATACCAACTGATAATGTGACAGGCGTAGTTTCACTAATTTAAAAATAAAAGTATACATATACATAAGGACAACACTGGTGGAGCGCCCATCGGAATGACGAAAAAGGGAATAGTTTCAAACTGATTATGTTAGCGGTTTAATTTAAGCAGTTGAATTTAAAGTCTAAGCGTTCATTGAGAAAAGCTACTCGTAGACCTCCAAGCTTCACTGCCGAGAACAACCTGCGGTCTCTGTGGCAGCAACGAATCCGTTCGGTGATGGTCAGCCAGTTTTGCTCTACGAATCTGGAGCGCCATCGACAAGGTAAGCATGGCGGAACCTAGCCATGTGGAATCGAATAAGATGCCTTAAATATTTTGTACATATATGGTTGGGCCATTGTCTAAGTTAATCCTGAATGTACAAAGCAATTGTTACCAACGTTGCGAGCTTGTCACGGTAATGATCTCCCGTGAGTACAATTCAATACTTCAGATGTTCCAGCTTCATGATGTTTGACGTATCATGCTCCAACTTCCGTGTTGTGTAACACCAAGTGTTATAACAATTTTGGAGGTTAGGCCAGTCAGATTGAGACATAGCATACTCTTGCAGCCAGGTAGACAGAATCTGCTCCTGGTCTGTCTCTGGAAGAGATGCAACAAGCAGCTCCAATTGCCTCTCAGCCTCTCCCTTTTCTGCAGAGTTGAAGATGGGACCATCTCCACCATGTGTCGCATTGCAGAGCAGAGGTAACCACAACAGCATCAACTTGAAACAAACCTCTTGTGGGATGCTCATGTTCCCCACCAAGCCTTTACATAGTAGAGCTGCAACGTGAGATTAAACAAACATTAATGATGCATTTTGAGTACCAATGAGAATAATATGTCAAATGCCAGAGTCACCAGCAAAATCCATGAGTAATTATTTCCCAGATGAGTAAGTAGTGTGGATAAGCTCTGCCTGTATTTGAAGGATAACAAGAAAGAAAATGGAGAGGCGTACTTGAAAGCCGGACAAGGGACTTCTGGACCTTCGGAGAAGCACGTAGAGAAAGCTCTGCGAGGTACGACACTGAGCTCCATTGTTGAACCGCAACCTCCATCCCACCACAGTCGAGCAGCTTTTCAGCAATCCACAAAAGTTCGATGGCAAATTTCTCGGCCACGTCTGCATCGACCAAGTTCGCGACTTGCAACGCTGATTCATTGAGATTCGACCTTGAACTGAAAAACCCCAGTGGAGACAGGAGTTGTCCAAAAAATGACCAAAGTTTAGCGAATGGGCCCGAGAAGATCACACTTGGAACTGCAGCGCCACCAGGAAGATTCTTTGCAAGTCGACTGCACGCTCGGAGACAGGAACAAACATGAGGTGGACATTCCACTGCTAAATTAAACAAAGTGTTTGAAGCATTCTTCACTATCGAAATTTCATGCATCACCTACTTTAAGAAGCATTCAAATTCAAGTCTCTAATACACTCCAAGACCGACAAGATTCACCGTGATTTGTAATTTCATAATTTTGTGAATGAAGGGCTAAGAATTAGCATGAAAGAACTTACCCTAGAAACGAATCACTCTGACGGCGACTCTCTAAGGATAGCCCAAGTAGGTAGATCGTTCGGGTGAAGCTACTCTTCAATGCTGCTTGGTTGATGGAATTATATCTGGCACCTTCCATTCTGTTCTCTTGAATCACTCTGTCAGCTAAGCCTTGAAGAAATACATACTTGTTGGAGGAGGCCGGAACATCGTTCACTAAAGCCAGCACCTAGCATGCAAATCCAAATCACCCAAGTCTTGAGAGAAACTTTCGCATATAAAAGCAGCACTCTAGTCTGGGCCTAAAATCCATGAAAATCACGTCATCCTCAGAACCTCAATTGGCTCAACTACTTTACAGCGCACGCCTAGAAACAGTAATAGATGTGCCAATAAAGTTTCAAAACAAATTAGCTCCAAACCTGAGTGAGGGCACGGCCAATGGGAGTCGCAGAGACCGCCAAGTTACTGCGGCTGCCCAGATGGGACTTCGTCTGCCTACCAAAACTGCTGGAAAGTGCAGAAGTATATTCATCTCCTGCCGTGCTTAGCTTCTGCAAAACTGTGGACAACACAGGCACGGGCACGAGCGTCGGCAAAAGAGCCAGACACATCTTGGCCCAGGCGGCCAGCAACCACAGGAGGATGGTAGATATGGTGTTGAACTGCTGGAGTATAACATGACGGGCGTCAAGCTCGACTGATCCATACACGCTGTAGAGGTCCCCAAGGAGACCACCCTTGGGGTTGGGCCAAGAGAACTCGCCTAACTCCGCCATTGCTATACCGCGTAACAACCTCTCCTCAAACACTCCTCGAAAAGCTCTCGAAGCGCCAACCCACTTGTGCTGCGGTGCAGCGGACTGCAGGAGCTATGAGAGGGGCCAGAAAACGGTGGCCAGCAGTGGTTGAATGCGGGATTCGTCTGAGGTCGGTTGCCTTGGTTTCATCTACCGCCGCCCTCTTTGGAAATCACACACAAGAGAATATTCCATTCGGTTTGTGTGATTCCTACACTTCGGCATGCGGCACTTCGGCATGCGGCCGCTGATCCCCAACACGCAGCATCTCCTCTACCGCGCGGTTCCGAAATTCTAGGGGTCTCCAGGAGCAACCTGGAATCGATATTCAGTCCCTGTTATTCTTTTCTTCGCTTGTCAAGTTCTCCAATCCACGCAGACACATTTCAACCCGCCATCGTCACAAATAGAATTTAATGAGGGACAGAAACCCATTTAGTCATCCTCTAAGGGCGGTCCCACAATCACGGTGCCAGTGACGGCGAACGACAAAACTTCCTCAGACCAAGTGGTCCTGCATAACCGAGCTGTCGCGAGCTTCACTGTTGTTGCAGGCTTGCAGGTCCATCCCATCAAGCAACGACATGCTAAGTGGGTCTGCTGCAGGAAATGAATCTTGTAAAACTCAATGCCTTCGAATTCTCAGAAATGGCGTGGATTTCATCTAGACAGTGAAGACCCCACCAAGAGCTGTGTAGCCTGAGCTCTAGCACTCCATCGTCGATCAAATTGTCGATGCTCTGTGAGTACCTCGGCACCGACTGCAAATCCGGCTCGACGCCCAGGACCGATTGTTCACTTTGTGAAAAACACACATGGATTGAAAAATATTGTTTCAATACAAAGGGATTTAGCCTCCCTTCATAACTAGATGGAAAGGCGTTGATACTTACCATGTTGGTAATTATACTACTGTTTCGAGATATTATCGTGTAAGTTTGACACTTATATAACCTAATCGAAACTAATTCAAAAAAATTTTAAAATTTATTTGTGTTTACTTTATTTAGTGTTTATTGTAATAAAATGTTGATTGGATTGTTGATATACTTATATTCCTAAGTAGTTGGAAGGAGCTTAATGTTGATTGAATTGTTGATATATTTATATTGTCAAGTAGTTGATAGGAGCTTGACTGTGATGTCAACTTTTATATCGATGGAAACCTATTTTAATTCAACTTTATTATTTGTTAACTTTTATTTATGGAAAATGATATTTGGATAGATGATGATAAGAACTTGTGATTGAATAGCTAAACAATGTAACATTAATTTTTATTACAATAAACACTAAATAAAGTAATTTTGTATCAAATTTTTGTTGAAGTAATAATAATGTATAAATTATATGTTGGATCATTTTAATTATTACTAACATTGATGTTGTTAAGGATTGAAAAGAGATGAAAGCAAAGAAGATTCAATTAGAAGAGAAAGCAATAGTAAAATAATAATTGTCAAAAACATGGTTCACTTTAGATATTTTAAATTTCACACAGAAGTAGTTATTGTAGCAATAAAATTTACATATATTATTTTTTGTATTTTTTAAAAACTAATATAAAAAGTTAGAAAAAATTATTGATTATACACTTTGTATGTGTAAAATAAATAAAAATATAATTAGTGATAGTCAATTAGATGAAATTTTATTTTATTTTATTTTTTAACAAAGTTGTGTATAAAAAAGAAAATGTATGAAGTTTGTATCAGAAGAGTTTGCCACGTCATTGTAGAGTATAGTACAAATTTACAAAATCATGTACAATTCATGGCATAGGCTTAAAATATAGATTATATGGTATTAAGCCATTCATATCTATAGCATATATAAAAATAGTCTACATAAGACATTTTGCAATCATAAAATAAACATATATTTATATAAGCTATCTATTTAAATGTCATAGGATGAATAAGTCTATGTATAATTTTTTTTTTTTTTTCACATATTATATAAAAGATAATTTTATAAATTTGAAAAAATTATATCTTCTAAATTATTTTCTTGCTAAAAATTTTGAACATATTATTAAGATTAAAAGTATTACAAGTAAGGCGATAGATCAAAATTTCGAAAAAGACAAAGCAAAAAAAATGTCAACAAAAAAAAAGAACTGAGTCAAAGGCCCCATATTTAAATATTGAAAAATTTATAGGATATTCTAAATCCACGACTATATTTATAAACCTCTAAAACATAGACAAAGATTAAAATAAAACTTACAAAATTCTACCCATTTATAAAGTTAACTCAAAATTCAAAATGATTAAATTTTAAATATCTACAAATCTATATACTTTTAAAACAATTCAATGATATATTTAGAATAGAAAATCTATATATAGATCCAATATTATTTTCAAAACTCTCAAAGACCTTTCTATAATAAAGATGAAAATCTTAAAATCCAAGTCAAAGTTATTTTATCTTGCAAACTAAGAAATTTGATTAGGTTATATTATTACGAGAACAAACCTTATTCTTTATTCTTTTGAGTGTATTTTTTTTATAATATTTTCTTTTTTTAGATTTCTTTAATATAATCTAAATCTAATCATCTTTAACATACTTTATTTTTGTACTATTTTATTTTATACATATCTTATTTATTTTTGGTTTGACGTTTTTTAGTAACTTGTGAATATATTATCTATTGATTTTTAATTTATCTTAAAAGATATCTTTTTAAGAATGTGCTGACCATTACTCTTAATAATGATATAAAGCTTGAGCATCCTTTGATATCATATAAAGTCAAAGATATAAGATTTTGCAATTAATTTGGCAATGATGTCAAGCTTGATCACTTGCTTATATTAAAACTACTTAAAAATGTGAGGTTCGTCAATTTATTTGGTAATAATGTCAAGCTTAAGTACCCTCTTATACCAAAGATAATTAAAGATGTGAGGTTTTTCAATTCATTTGGTAATGATAAACTTGAGCAATTACATATTTATAAGGTAGTAAAAAATATAAGGTTGTTTAATTCATTTTACAATATTGTTAAGCTTTTATACTTATTTATATCTAAAGAAGTTAAAGATGTATTATTGCATGATTAATTTGGCAATGATTTCAACATTGATCACTTATATATTCTTAAAATAGTCAAAGATGTAAAGTTGTAAAATTAATTTGATAACAATGCCAAGCTTTGGTACTCACTTATATCAAAAGTAGTTAAAGATATGAGATTGTCTAATTAATTTTCCAACAATGTCAACCATTTGAATCTATTTAAATCAAAAGTAGACAAAGATGTGGAATTCTCTAATTTATTTGGCAATAATGTCAAGCTTTTATACTCACTCATATCAAAAATAGATAAAGAATTAAAATTACATAATTCATTTGACAATGGTATCAAGCTAAAGCACATCCTTATATCAAAGGTAGTCAAAGATATGAGATTGCTCAATTCATTTAACAATAATGTTAAGCTTGAGTACCAACTTATATAGAAGGTAGTAAAAAATGTGAAGTTGCCTAATTCATCTAGTAGTAATATTAAGCTTGAATACCTATGAATATTTAAGGTAGTTAAAAACGTAAGGATGCCAAATTCATATGGCAATGATGTTAAGCTTGAGCAATTATTTATATTAAAACTAGTCTGAGATGTAAGATTATCAAATTTATTTGGCAATAATATTAAGCTTGAATACTTTCTTATATTTTAGATAGTCAAAGATATGAGAGTGTCCAATTCATTTGGCATCAATATCAAGCTTGAACACCTATCAATCTTAAAAGTAGTAAAAAATGTTAGATTGTATAATTCATTTGGCAATAATATCAAACTTTTGCATCTCTCTATATGAAAAGTAGTCAAAGATGTGAGGTAGCCCAATTTATTTGGTAATGATGTAAAGCTTAAGTAGTGATTTGTATATAAGTATTTTTTTAAAGAGAACAGACTTCCTTATATTTTAATAAAGTAACAGATTTAAAGAATAAATTAATTTTTTTTTCTATAAAAGAATAATCTCTCTATTGCATAAAATTTAAAATCTCAAACTTTTTCTAAACATCTTTATTATGTAGAATTTGTAATACTTTATTTTTTAATTCTTTTTTAAATTTATAATCCTATAGCATATCTAGTAAAAAATGTTTTAAACTAAAAAAATTCTTTATCAACACAAAATATATGCTTGGTATCCTTACTAAAATTTTGGAAGCAAGAATACCAATATTACAACTTATAAATTGATGTGATAAAAAAAAAGAAAAAATCAATAAAAAAAATCTTATTTCATTGATAATGTTGTAAAACAATCCCTTGAATTATAAACCAATACAATTAAATGCTCATAAAGATTAGAATTTCCACATTAGTGATATACTTAATGTACATACAATTCTAAATTTGATATAAGATTAGTTTTCTTACACAATACCTGTATAGATACCTCAACGCATACTTAGATAGATACCCCAATGGATACCTATATAGATACACAAACGTATACCTGGATAGATACCTCACCGGATACCTCGACGTATAACTCGATGCTGGGACGGGAGCGCGATCCCTGCTGGTGAAGGCAATCGTAATGTGCTGCCTGTGGCGATGATGGCGTGATGCTCGACCCTCACCAAGTTCTGTCATGGAGCCCACGACATCATGGTTTGCTTCATCTGAGCTTCTCAGAGGATTTGTGGGTGAACAGTTTCTATGGAGAATTTGGGTTCGTGTGATTGCGCAGCATCGCAGTTGATCGTCACCGCGTTCTTCGTAGCTCTATGGAAATTACAGCAGCTGTGTTGCAGTTTGGAGTGATGCAAAGTTGTTTTATAGTGTAGATTACTTCATGAAGCTTTAGGTTAGCTGAGGAATAGTGAATTGGCATCGTTGGTCTCATAATGGTTTACATCCGTTTTAGGGTTTGAAATTTCTGTGTTTTCTGTGCCAATTGAGCAGGTGATTGATTCAGATAGGGATGCGTGTGGCCTATTGTGGTCCGATGAGGAACTCTTGCGGCAACATTGCTACCCTGCTATTGTGGACGTTGGCAATATTGTGTCGGGTTGTGGATCAAGGTAGAATTGCTGAGTGAGGGGATTAGAGTTGATATGGCGTCCTTTTCGAGGGTCAAGAATGATATCTTTGAGCGGGAGCAGCGGCGGCAGCAGCACCATGACCGGGTGTTGGGATTGAACGCGTACGAGCGCCACAAGCAATTCATGCGTGATTATCAAGCGCACTACGGGTTTAGCGCTGGTGTTTCCGCAGGACAGCAGCATCAGGTTTTGCCTGCCAAGACGGACCGTGATACTCTAAGGGAAACTTATCGATTCATTCGCAGCGAGGAAGACGACTTAGAGAGGTCGTGGGAGCAGCGCCTTGCGAAGCGCTACCATGACAAGCTTTTCAAGGAGTATTGCATTGCAGATATGTCTAGGTTTGGACTCTTTGAAACCCTGTTTATTTCTGATTGAGTAATTAGAAACCATGTTTCTATGTTTGAGGTTGTGTTGAGCATACTGTTTGCTTGTTAGGTATAAAGAAAATCGCATTGGATTGAGATGGAGAACTGAAAAGGAGGTCATCAGTGGGAAGGGGCAATTTGAATGTGGCAATAAGAAGTGCACTGCCCGCGAAGGTCTTCGAAGCTACGAGGTTAATTTTGCGTATAGTGAAGCAGGGGAGAACAAACAAGCACTTGTGAAGTTACGAGTTTGTCCAAAGTGTTCATACAAGCTGAATTATAGAAAAGAGAAGGAGTTTGAGAGGAAATTGAGGAAGGATGCCAGACGGAAGAAGCGAAAACTTCTCAGAGAGATAAAGAAAGGGAAGAGAGGATCTCGAGAAAGGAGCAAGAACAGTGAGAATAGTGGAGAAGAGTTTGATGACAAACTTAGAGAATCACCAAGTAGTTCTGAGGAAGAAGGTAGTGATAGGTCTGAATCCGAGACTGACGTGGAAGATGAACCAAGATTCAAACGAACCAAGACGAAAGAAGTTCCCAAAGCTTTTGGAAGAACGAGTGACAACAACGATGGAGAATTTGAGCCCTATTTCAAAGACATGTTTCTGTAAGCTAACATGGTTGGTGCAGCAATGGCGTACACTTTCACGTTCACCAGACAACTATGCAGTGCTTTGGGATATCTTTTTTTAAAGATGGTGGGCTACAGTACAGTAAGCAGATCCGTATATTGTCGATCAGTTAATCTATCTACTCGCAGATGTTGAATTGCAGCATGGCTATGGACTGGGACTACTGCTGTCGACTGATTACATTCATCAAGCTTGGGGCAATCAAGGGGTGTTTTGAGCGTTTTTACTGCGTCGCCAGATGTGGTGAACTTCTATCAGTTAAGAGAATTCGGAAGTTCAGGATCCTCTTGTTCAAATCTGATTCAGGTTATGTAATTCATGTACATGGTTGAGTATAAACGTTTATTTAATGTAGAAATTCTTCACGGGGTCAGCATGGTTGGGTTGATTAATATTTCTGTTGCTACGGATATGCGCAACATGGGACGTGTTAAGCTCCTCCACGTTTTCAGAAATCTGGTGAGTTGCAAGAATTGCTACCACGTTTGTTGTTAAGTGTCTGCTCGCCTCTACACAAAATCCGCGGAAGACGGTCGTCATCAATTTTCTCAAATTCTTGAGCTTAACCTCATATCGTCCCTAAATGACGTCCAGTGTTTGCTTCGATGAGCTTTTGAGAGGAAGCAGAAGATCTGGATGGTGTGTTGAGCTCCTCTTGATTTGTGATATTGGCTGCGACTGTGGTCAAACTGAGGAAACAAAGTGTTGCCGAGTATTGGAGTACAGAATGTGCTGTTTCCTGGAGTGTAGCCTTAACCTCTACCCGCAGGATTGTGGTGTTTGAACTGCTTATGATCAAACAATGTGGAAGTTACATAGTCCAACTGTGTTGAGGATGGTGGGGACTGTGATGGAGTTGATATGAAGAGTCATTCCTCGGAGGAGATTGATCGAAGCAGATATGGTAATAGGTAGAAAACAACTATTAATTGAGTTCTTCTTTTAGAACAATTGATTAACCTAACCAGATTTCTCTGCACTTTGAGAGTAAAAGTTAATGTTTTTGTCTCCCAATACTACCAGATCTCTCTAACAACCAAGGAAGGTTGGGCTTCACTGATACCCTATTTTATCATATTCTGCTGTAAAGACATTGAAATTAGAGTTTTAAATTCGAACTGGTAACAGTTCTATATATTTTGAAATCTATTTGCCTCGCCTCAACGGGCTTCTGTTCCCAGAAAATCATGAACCAGGCACTAGTAGATTGTCTTTGTGAATTAGTGGATATGAAGATTGAGGTGCCTTTTGAGGACGAAGCGGGAAGATGAGCATGGATAGAGACGTTGGATTCTATATTTATCTGAAACGCTCTGAAAGTTATGCTGATTTAGTGTCAAAAGTGTTTGGATAATGGTACAGGCCCACATACTCCAAGTTCTCGGTTGGGTAGCGAATATGTGTGCTACGGTGTTTTTGAGCAGAACGGTTGGCTAGATCAGTGCTTCCACGATTTATTTAACATGTCAGCACACTGTTTAGAACACATCCTCTTCTCAGGGAGCCAGTGGAAACAACTGTTACTCGCTTCACTTGTTTGGTAATATCATCTATGCATTACCACTAGTAATCTGGTGTAGTAAATCAACTTCAGGAATGAGCGTAACACACCATATATATCTACTATTGGATTAGATATATATTCCAAGTACTAAAAAAACCTGTTACGTGTGCTAGTGCATAGAAAGATCACACACGAATCAATCTATTGTAGAGTCAGCAATCGATTTTTGTGAAAACATCATCTCGGGATCTCAAATCACTCTGGCTTCAAGGAGTTCTCAATGTCAATGACAAAGCGATACCGAACATCATTCTGCACAAGTCGATTCATTGCCTCGTTAACATAATCGATGTTGATAGTCTCGATCAATGGAAACACCCTCTTTTCTGCAGCAAAATCCAGCATCTCTTGAACATTTTTGGCTCCACCGCCTCCTGCGCTTCCCGTGATGAACTTCCCTGCGATGATCCAATTTACCATCAGGAATCAGAACAATGTGCTTATCTTTGAGTTCTAGATCTTCAATCATACCATTGGGTCGATGTTTCGACTCTAAAATTTAATCAGGAATGGACATACTCATGAAAACATTATGTGGGGAGAATTTCGCCTCCGCTCCAGCTCCAACGAGCACAAGAACACCTTCCTGCTTCAAAGCAAGGAGATATGGATCAAGTGGAATGGATCCTGATGCTGCGTTGATAATGAAATCCAAGGTGTTATGTTGAGCCTTCATGGCTTCCTCATCTTTGCTAAGTACAAATGCATCAGCTCCGAGTACACCAAGAGCCTCGTCCTTCTTCGAGGATGAAGTGCTGAAGACGGTAACATGCAGACCAAATGCTTTTCCAAACAGGACTCCCATATGGCCCACTCCCCCAAGCCCAACCACTCCGAGCTTCATTCCTGGTTTGTTCATGCCAAGGCGTTTCATTGGACCGTAAACTGTAGCGCCTGCACAGAGGAGAGGAGCCGCAACGTCGGAAGGCAGCGCATCTGGGATCTTCACAACGAACCTGAATTTTCGAAGTGATAAGATGAGGTTTGCATTTCATTTGGTAAAAAATTATAACAAACACATCGAACTCGCATTTAGATCATCCATTAGAGGTGTACACCACACAAGAAAACTTCGTCTCTTTACCGCTGATGCGCTTGCATGATGTTAGAAAATCCTCCTCGAGTGATTGTGCCATCCACATCCACTGCGTTGAAGACTCTGGTTGCCAAATTGACACACATGCTGTCCATGCCTTCTTTGCAAGAATCGCAATGCAGGCATGACATGGCGCAGTATCCCACTCCCACACGTTCTCCAACTTTAAAGTTCGAGACGTTAGAGCCCACCTTCGTGACAACTCCAACAATCTCGTGTCTGCAACACGGCTCGATCCTTAGAACTTATAGTAAATGTGTTCATGAACTACATCGGAGTCACAAGAGGCTCGAGCGTTTAGAAATTTTCAAACAGTGCAGCATGAAAATTTTGATCTACAAGGAGGATTAAATGGTAGCAGAGAAGAACGGATACGCACCCCGGAACGACGGGATACTGGACATCACTAAGAAAATTCCTGGTCCATATCACCTCCGCGTAGCAAATTCCACAGTGAGTGACTCGAAAAACAACGTCATCTGGTCCAGAGTTCCTGCGTTTGGAAGCAATATTCTCGTTAGGAAACCGCCACGACGCATCAATCGCTAAGGATCTCTCTGACTCAACTATCTCTAATCAATCACCTAACTCTAACCCTGAACAAACCCCTGAAGCTCCGAGGAATACATGACTCTGCCCGCAAACATGTGTATGGCGCTGTTGCCATTTTCTGATTCTAGCAAACGTACCTGCGCTTGAATTTGAAGGGCTTCAAAAATCCGCTCTCGTCGTGCGCTGCATATCCTATGCAATCGAACCCTTCTTTCGGCTCCATTCCTCGCCTGATGAATTCAAAAGATTTTGGATCAAAAACTTAGCAGTTCCAGAAAAGAATGCCCTCAGTTCCTGACTAATTCTGCAATGGCACAACAATTCTTCTCAAGAAGTGTGCGACCAATTCGACTTCAGAGAAGAGCAGACAGCCCACAAATGAGATCGATAAATACAGTTCGGTGCTCTCTATATATGCTGATTCGTTGTTGCGCGAAAAGATGGTACGAAAGACACGCAGCACCTACGCAATGCCCTGAAGGATACTTTAAGACAGAATCACTTTCTGACAGACTATTCTTCAAGGCAATAACTAGACCCTCCCAAAAATAGTTGACTCGGCACCCAGCATGCGATATGCAATACTATTCCATGCCGCAGTGGTTGCTTCACACACTCACAGAAACTGCAGTAAGTTAACTCATGACATTAGGAACTAGGGTTTCTGTCAAAGTCACCACACTGATGCATGAGGATAAGCAAACCAACGGAGAGTGGCCAGATGTTTTAGTGTCAGTGCGAGATAAGAAAGTAGATGTAAAGCACTCACAAACGAAAGAAGTTCTTTAATAAATTTCGTCGTTTCCTGATACAATCAAGGCGATGTCCAGAAGTTTCTTCTGAGTGCATCTATTTCAGATATTAGATATCACCTTTTCAAGCAGATCCTAAGGCAGTGAAATTTCCTCGCTGCTCATCAACTCACCACCCTAGTCGCCTAATAAAAGTTAACCGACAGCTCTTTGACGTCGCAATTTTACAACCGAAGACATTCGCACATTCACGATACTGATCTAGACTAATTGCCTGAGATCGTCGCCCCTCTCCTCTTTACAGAATTATGTCACTGTCACATGAAGTTACGAGTACAATTTCTCGAGATTTTGGCACATCCATATCTAGCACATCTATTGAATATGGTTTTCAATGTCTTAATATCATTCAAATTATTCAATTTCATCATTCATATTTACTACTTATAAGTAAGCAGTTGTGCAATCTTTCAAACTTTTATAACAACGTGAAGAGTGAAGTTAGACATTACAAATTAAATTACTCTTGGATGCAATGAATTACTAGTGTATATCTATTGTTACAAATGTATTATTTTTTGTCAATTAAACAAAAATCTAGTTTCATTTTAAAAAAAAAATTAATGGCATAAGTTTTTTAATGATTGATTAACATTATATATTCTAACAAAAGTAAAAAAATAACTTTTTAATCAATCTATTTGTTCATAATTTTATAATTTTTGTAGATATTGCCTCGGTTACTTTGAAAGACTTTGATATTGTCTATCTTAACCATGACCTTAGTGAAGGCTACAAAGAACGCCACTTGGTTTTGGTTCTTTTGAATTAAAAGATGCATTAATGCATCAATAAATAATACTTGGTCCAAAACTAGTACATCCATCTTAACTACTAGATTGATATAGTATTTAGAGTTGAATCTTCTATCAATGTTGGTGTCTAGGAAAAATGTGTGCTTTTGAAGTTTAAGAGAGTGACATTTCTTCTTCATCTTTTTGATGAAATTGATAAGGATATTGAGATCTATTCTAGACTTGCTTAGATAATTATTAATCTTACTATTGATGTGATAGCATATAGTTTGAAACAGGACTAGACTATCTCAAAAAATCCAAGATTCTTCCAATCCACATCAACACAAGGCCTCCTCACAAAATAGGACAAAACAAACTAGAACAAAATTAAACGGAATTAAACAAAATAGGACATGAAAGACAAAATTGAGTAAACAAAAATAGAACAGAACAGATCTAAATAGAAAGATGCAGAACCAAACTTTATTAAGAAAAAGGATCCAAAGCCATATCTGACTAGATGCCCCAAAAGGCCCCAAAAGGCCCTGACTAGTCTTATTTATATCTTATCTTATTATCCTAGACTTTCTATAATGTTCCTAGATAGTGGATCCTACTTAGATAACCATCCTAAGCTTTCTTCTAGAAGGTTCTATGGTGGGTCCTAACAAAATAACCACCCTAAATCCTTTTTAGAATGTTCTACGATGGATCCTACCTGGTCCACTAACATAACCTCAATTCTAAAAACTTCCATGGTTCTAATTATTTATATAATTATCTTATCTATACCCTGTTATAATTAATCTCCCTCCACTAATGTAAAACGTCTTCGTTTTGCTCTTGATGATATCTTTGAATTGTTTCTTGGCAATGGATGAGATTTTGTGCACGTTCCTATATTGCATCGCAAATAGGATAACCTTTTTAAAGAAATTTGTACTGAAGTTGTGGACGTCCACTATTATAACAAAGGTAGCATTGCTCCAAAACATTGTCCACTTTATATTCTTTATACTTTGCTTAGATCTAAAATGATATTACTAATAGTAGCGACTTCTACCTTATCTTTTGATTTGTCCTTCAAGCGTGGTCTTCCTGATAAATATAGTGGCACAATATGTTCTCGCCTTTGTTTGTATTCAAGCTGGATATTAAAAATTTATAATTATTCTTTTCAACGATGATGTCAAGATTTTATATTTTTGAGATACAAATCATATAACAAGGGTCAATGGTCAGTTCAAACAACCACTAGCTTCCGCAATAGATAGTGTGTCCACACCTTTGTGGCTTGTATAATTGCTAATTGCTTTCAATCACATAGAGAGTAATTACACTTTGTTCTTTTGAACTTGCATGATTCATATGCCAGAGATTGAAGGCTCCTACCAAAATATTGTTGAAAGACCGTTCTAATAGCAAAGTTGGAAGCGTCAATGTCAAGTATACAAGAGAGATTATAATCATACGATTGCAATATTGGAGCAATAATGAGTGCCTCTTTCAACTTATCAAGGCATTTTGTTGCTCCAATTTCCATTCAAATGGAGCATCCTTTTTCAATAGGTTTATCAATGAGAAATTAATGTAAGCAAATTGTTAAACAAAATCATGATAGTATCTAGCAAGGCCTAAAAATAAGCAAAATTTAGAAGCATTCTTAGAGGTTGGCCAATCTTTCACTTCTTCTACCTTATCTTAATCCATACACATGCCTTCAAAAGACACCACATGCTCCAAAAATATAACTTTTGACTTCCAAAGTTCATATTTTGATTGCTTGCAATAAAAGTGACTATCTTCTAGTTGACGCAGTACCTTTCGTAGGTGTTGCTCATACTTTTCAGGAGTTTTACTATATACAAGGATATCATCAATGAAGACAACTATATACTTATCCAAAAGGTCTAGAATCAATCTCTTCATGTGACCCATGAAAGAGGTTGGAGCATTGGTGAAGCCACAAGATAAAACCAGCCATTCAAAATATCCATAGCGCATATGAAATGCCATCTTTTTCACATTCTCTTTTGAAATAGGTGTTTTCCAATAGCTGCTCCAAAGATCCAACTTTCTAAAGATGGTCATACCTCAAAGTTGGTCAAGAAGATCATCCCTGTGTAGAAGTGGATATACATTTTAATAGTTTGCTTATTCAGACCTTGATAGTCAATGCAAAAGTAAAGTCCACCATCTTTCTTAGGTACAAAGAATATAGGTGTTTTCCATCGTAATGTGCTTTCTTGAATAAAGCTTTTTTTCAAGAATTTTTCCAATGTCTTCCATAGCTCTTCAAGTTCTTTTGGTGCTAGGCAATAAATTGGTAGGCTTACTGATTTTGCTCTAGGCAATAGTTGTATTTGAAAAGAGACTATGAATCATCAAATTTACTCACTTATTATTTTAGGATAAAAATATGCATTTAGAATGCTTTAAATCACAATATATATTGAGTAGTGTAGAAATCCCTAGAAAAATAGAAAATTAAAATGTTAGTGGTGGAAATAAAGTCTTAGTAAGTCTTAGAAGTAATTATCCTTATTGGTTTCATATTTTTATTTTATTGTTGAATATTAAGGATTACTTATTAAGATCAATATTTAAATTGGTCTTCTATCTATATGTACTACTTATAAAAACTATAAATATTAGTAGTTAGAAGAAGCATGAGAGAGAACATCATGTCATTTTAGTTATTGATATAAAAAATATGATTTATAGTGGATTTAAATTGATTTATATTATTATAAAAATTTTAAAGATAGAAAAATGTAGCTTTAAATGGATATTAGATTTATAGAAAAATTATAAAACTTTTTAAAATTTATTTAGAATTTATTTAGAATTTATTTAGGAATTTTTAGAGCAATTTTTAAGAACTTGGTAAAAATGAGTTTTATCACTTTGGGAGCCTTTATGAAGAAATAGTGCAAGATTTGAAGGCCGCACTAGCCTCCTAGGCTAATTAGGTGTTTTTAAATACCATGGTGAGATCAAAATTATAAAAATATTGGTCCTTCTAGTAGAAAATAGGAGGACCAGCATCTAGTGCAATCCTTGTAGGAAGGGAAGTGCTTAAGTCCCATATAGATTGTAGCACCTTGAAGGTAGTTAGGAGGATAAGACTAAGGTCTTGTGGCCTCTCTTAGACACCTTTATATACTACATGTGAGCCTTGGTGAGGCCCGAATCCTTGATCTATAAATAAGTTATCTTTGAAGTATAATATTTTTACTTCACTATTCAATTATTTATTTCATATCTTTAAAACTTCATAACTTATTCATAGTAATTCGGATTTATATGTTTCTTATGTCATTTAAAAGATAATAAAATTAAATATTTAATAATTTACTTTTTATTTTTTATTTTTACTTTTATTGGATGAAAATATAATGAACAAATTATAACTTAGTTTTAGGTGTTGTAATTACTTCATGTCATTTATTTCAATTGCTTTGCGGTTGTTTTTCTTTTTTTTTCTTGTTATTTACTTACTTCAATTCATGTAATCAATTATAAATAATTCTTAATTGAAGCCACCTTATAACTTAGGTTGAAGAGTGAAAATTTACACTCACAAAGGCACCTCGATCAAGAAGTATGCCACTAGGTAGGTCGGTTGAAAATACATCTTGATATTCTTGTATGAGGTACTCTACCTATTCTATCTCTTTGGCTATCTTTCCTACTACTAATGCAAGATTTGATACCACCATATATATAAGTTATTCTTTGTAGTGTCAATGATCCTTCTAAGGCATCAATCTTCATTGGCGTTAGTTGTTGTTCTATAATATTAGATAGCGGCTGTGATTCTTCTTTTACTTATTCTTCAATTCCTTTCAGAATAAACCTATATGGGAGAATTCGAACACAGGGAAAGACTAAATGTATGAGTTTTACTTGTTAGAGTTACACAATTAACCATATTCCAAACCACTAAAACACCAAAAAATATTACAATGCTTTCTCCCAATAATAATACTCCTTCATCAACTGATAATAATAGTGTGCAACCCTGCACTCTCAAAAGACCACTCAAAATACATAATTACTATCTAACACAAGAATTAATAGACTTCACTCCAATTAATCTGAATTCACATAATTTTTGTAATCACAGACTTCCTCTGTCGAAACACACACA